TTATAATATAATATAGATATATATATATATATATATATATATATATATATATATATATATAAAATGGGGTTTTTCCTTGTGTGTGGAGGGAAGAATAGGAGGAAACATGTATGGTTGTTGAGTGCATCATAACACACCTACATTCATTCCCTTACAAATACATGCCAATAACCCAACATTAAAAATTACAATTATGAAAACAAAAGAATAGAATTAGAGAAAGAAAGCCAACATCAAAACTTTGACAACTATCACTTGTTTGTACAAATTACTACTATTGCTACTACTCAATTTGTCAAGCATATTTTATGCAGTCCCAGTTGTGTGCCCACAAGCCTAAGTAAAACTTGCACCAGATCTCTAACTCGAGAATTCCTGCAACACCCCGATGTCCATTTAGATGCCAAACCAAATCAAACGAGTATCCCACCCCAAAGAGTAGAGCGATATGAAGACCCACAGAGTAACCACATATTTGTAAGTGGCAACAATATGATGCCATAACTTTAGCTTTTTCATCTTATGAGCATGGAACAAGCGACTAGAGGAAGGAGTGTACGAAGGACTTTCTGCAATTTCTTAATGGCGAACACATACTTCTTACATCCATACGACTTGTTTACAAGTTTTCGATAATAATTATCTGTGTAGCATGAAAGTCGGTTTCATTTCGAGTTCTATCTCGACCCTACTACCATTTGGATGTCTAAAAATGAGAGAAAGATGGGAACAAAAGCAAGATGATCATATTTGTGAACCATATCACTTGGGCAAAATGGACCTTCATACCTTTTTCATTTATTAATCTACCAAATCACTTTTGTGCTGGTAATCATATCAATTACATAATATTCTAATCAAATTAGCTGGCATGAAAATTATGTAATCAATATGATTGTGAGTGATTGATAAATCTCTTTGTTCGGAATAACATGCAGAATTATGAAAAAAAATTGTTTCTTTCTATCTTCTATGGTTTGGAATGGTTATGATGAGATAATTGATTATTCCCTCTGTCTTAAAATAAATGTCCCCATGTTTAATATAAACGTAACTTCCAAAACTGCCTACTTTCTAATTCTACCCTTATTATAAGATGAAGAAATTCAATCCTCTCTGTGTTATTAAGGGTAAAATTGTCATTTAGTTTAACAAAAAATGTAATAATTACACATTCCTATTTATTTTAGGATGGAGGGAGAATAATTTATGAAAACCCTTGGTTACGTTCATTCTAAAAGTGCATGCATATCAAGTATTACTTACCTCGACTTAACAAGCTCACACAAGGGGGAGAAAAGGACAAACAAATGTGCACGTTGGTCGGGGTTCTCCTCTACGAGACCACCCTTCAAATATGGGTGTAATGGAAGAACTGAAGCCGTTTCTGGATGCATGACAACACGTGCCATCTCTTGGAGTACAAATGCAATCTCACTGATTCTTGCTGACGGAAATGGTCGTTCACCTTCAGATAGGATTAGGAGAAAATGTTATACAACCCAATCATTAATGACACACGGATTTTGTTAGATGATACGCACCTAATTCCTTCTCGTCAGTCAAAAACTTCTTCAGTATGAATTCGCATCTTGTCATAAGTATCATGACGGAAATTTTGCTTATTTCTCCTCGAGTCTGATTCCAGACACTTGATTCATTGTTGTAACTGAGAAGAAGCAAGTCATAGATTATACATGAAGGTAATCGAAGCATCCAGCCGAAAATTATGCAGATGATTTGAAACTAGAAGTATACAACAATAAGACGCTTAAAAGAAAATATTATGTGTTCTATTTTCCTGATCTTACACCACCATTCTACGCCTACAGTAACAACTTTCACACCATTTATGGAAAAACTATGGATTGGACTTTAGACTGTTTTCCAAGTGGTGAATTATTGCTAAACATAAACACCAACATGTTGAAGAATAGTCTGACCCAATTCTATCTTCTAACGCTCCTCAGGTTGGGAGGACTGGTACCAACCATCAATTTAGCGGTAAAATGGATCTTTATAGAAAGCAAACTAGCCTAAAACTGAAAACAGGAAAGACTAGAAACCAAGATTGAAACTGATACTGACAAAAGAAAGAAATCAGCAGATTGATAGGGAACGGTCCACTAGCCCAAGCCCCGTTCTGGATCAAAGTCTACAAACACAGGAGGACAGGTGTAGGGCCGTAAGAGACCCAGTCAGTTAGTAGTGAGAGAAGTCATAAATAAAGAGTGTTGTCGTTGAGAGCCATGTGAGTAATTTTCTTTCTGTTGAGAGAATCGGTTGTTAGCTGCTTGGCCAGGGGGTTTACCAATTCTTTGGTTATCCTTTGATTTTGTTATTGTATTCCTTTGATTTCCAGTAATCAATAGCGTAGTCCTTTGTTCCAGTTTATTGTGCGATTATACAATTCTCGTTTCTATGACTTTGGCTCCATATCCAGGGAAAGCATGGTGGTTCCAGAAGCTCCAATGACTACCCGGTAGCAGACAAGAGTGGATGCTCAAGATGAGAAGATCGAATCCCTCACTAATCAAGTGAAGGATTTCTCTGTTTCGATAAATTCTATGAAGGAAATCCTGAATGAGTTGCCCAAATCCATTGAGAAGTTAATGATGGGTTATGATTAGTATCAGGGAAAACGATCTATTTATGAAGAGGAAGCCGAGGGGCCTCCATTTAAAGAACAAATAGTGAGAGACGATTATGAATCCAGCAAAACACTTCCAAATCAAGGTCTGGAATCCTTCATCAAACAACCATTTTGAGACCTCCCTCTTTTCGATGCCTAGGGTGAAGCTTCGACAGTTTGAAGGCATCAATCCCAGAGGATGGATCATCAAGGCAGAACTATACTTTCAGGTTCATCAAACTCCCTCTCCTCAGAAATTAAACTTACTCAAATGTATATGGATGGCTCTGCCCTTAATTGGTTTACTAATCTTCTAACCAAAAACACCATACACCACTTGGGATCAATTTTGAGACAAACTAATGGTCCGATTTGGTGGAATGAAATTCCACAACACACATAAAGCGTTGGGATCCCTGGTACGAAGGGGATATCGATGAATATATCAAGAACTTTGAAGCTCTCTCAGCCCTTATTCCAGATCAGTCGGAGGCTTAATCCACAGGGATGTTCCTTCGTCGCCTCCAAAGCGATATTAAGAATTGGTTTAGGACTCTCAACCCATGTACTTGTGATCAAGCGATGAATCTAGCCCGTCACGTAGCCATCGCAACTGCCATCCATGGAGATGAAATGAATCAGAAAGGAAATGCATCATTCACTTTTGGGGCCAGTGGTACTACCCAGGGCTGTTCTTGGAAGTATGGTCAACGTGATAAGTCCACTACATCAAATCCTACCCATTACCAAATTAGTCAACCCAAAACCAGGCCAATCAAGCCCAACCTAAAACACTCGAAACCACTAAAACCAATACCCCATCAACCGATTCCTGGAAGTAGCCATCTGACCAAACAAGAGTGGGAAGACCGTCATAAACGAGGACTGTGTTTTAGTTGCGGGTAGAAGTACTCTCCCCAACATAAATGTATAGAGGGGCTACTTAGGGTGATTTTATTGGTGGACGGCGAAGAGATGGGTGAAGACGGGAAGATTCGCTGTGTGGAGGCTGTTTTAGATGAGGAACATGCAGGATGGAGAATGTAACGTACTCGAACTCTATGGGCTTGCGTCAGATACGTCTTTGACTCTAAAGCACTCAAATTGGTGGGGGAAATTCGGGCCATTCCGGCATTGATTTTGGTCGACAGTGGAGCAACCCACAACTTCTTTTCCAAACATCTAGCCAACGCATTGGGATTAGAGATTCAACCCACAAATCCCCTTTCCATCAGTTTGGGTTACGGTACACGAGTTCAAATCTCCAAATGTTGCCAAGAAGTATCGATCCAACTTAGAACTTTTACTTGTGTGGTTGATGTCCTGGTCTATGACCTAGGATCCGTGGACATGATTCTTGGCATAGCATGGTTAGGGACCTTGGATGACATGGTTTCTAATTGGCAGACCCAACAAATACGGTTCTGGAAAGATGGAACCCCTTATTCAGTTGCAGGGAGTCTCCTCTCCATCTTATGGTCAACCTTCACTTAAGACACTGCTAGAAGAACAACTCTGCCTCTTATGGATCCTATTGGATACCGCCTTACTCCAGTTCTCTTCATTAATCTAGTCTCCTCAAGGCTTATCTCTGGCTAGCCAATTGAGAAAGCAATCGATCTCCGCAAAGGCCAGGGACCTATACGTGCCCTTCCTTGTTGGCATCCTCACCGACATAAGAACGAAATTCAACATCAAGTCCTGGAAATGCTAGAGACGGGGATTATCCGAGTTAATCTAACTTATTCCAGCAACGTAATCCTTGTAAAGAAACATAATCAAAAGAAAAGTAGTTATGGTCGCCAATCAATTGAATACCTGGGACACGTTATTGATGGCCGTGGAAAGTCAATGAAACCATCCAAGATCTTGGCCATTCAAGTTTGGCTAATCCCCAAAATACCAAGGTTGCCCGGGAATTTCTTGATTTAAAGGGGTACTACAGGAAATTAGTAAAAGATCCTGGGACACTGGTAGCATTGAAGAAGCAACTTGGGAGAATGCAGCCGCCATTCAAACTCAGTTCCCTGATTTCAGGCTTGAGGACAAGCCTGCTCTTCAACACGCGACATTGATAGGGAACGACCCACTAGCCTAAGCCCATGGATGAAAGTCTACCAACACAGGACAGGTGTAGGGCTGTAAGAGACCCAGTCGGTTAGTAGCGAGAGGAGTCTATATATAAAGAATGTTGAGAATTGTTGAGAGGCATGCGAGTAATTTCCAATCTGCTGAGAGAATTGTCTGTAGCAGCTTGGGTAGGGGGTTTACCAATCCTTTGGTTATCTTTTGTTATTGTATTCCTTTGATTTCCAGTAATCCACTAGCTTAGTCCTTTGATCCAGTTTATTGTTCGATTGCACAATTCTCGTTTCTATCACAGATGAAGGTGGCAAACAGATCACAGTCTGGCTCTCCTTCCAACTTGGATGATTCCTCCTAAAAGAAAATCCTTGTGCAAACTCCTCACAATGTAAGAGTCTGTTTCAAAAAATTACTTTTTCGAAAATGTCATCGTGAAAAATGTTATTTGAATCTAACTGGACTGGAACAATTTTTGGAGATGATTCAAAAGAGCCACAACAAGCTTGGCGAGGGTCAGCTGGCACTGCAAAGGCGAGTCAAAATAGGTGTGGTGAGTAGCACCCAGGGTTGGTCCGTCAGAGGTCAGCCAGATCTATGGTCTTAGAAACATGTGGCAGGAAAGTGGTGGAAAGAGAGAGATCACATTTGGCCAAGATCATATCGACTCATCATCACTAAAATATTATTCGGAACCAAAGAATATGAATGACAAACATTATTATGCATCTTATAAACTGTTATTCAACCTTAAAGTATTCCAGTAACTTAGATAAAAGGGTTTTTCTTGCAGCAAGAGGAAAATGAATAAGAATAAACAATGTTTATTAGAATGCGAAGACAAGGATGAAAAGTTTGGGAAGTCACAGATGAAGAAATACCTGCTCAAGGAAAATAACTTATGCAAACAAGTCAGAGAAAATCTGCTACAGTGAGGAGGCACAAGCTCCACTGTCTCAACAGACAACGAACATGTCCGAGAAGCACATCGGTCAAGGGTAATTATCAACCGTTCCAAGATCTGTATAAAAGAGTACGAGCATAAAAATTGAAAACAATGTTGAGAAGTAGGTTTCAAGCCTCTAATTAGTGGGCGGGTAATAACTACTAGAAAACAAGTCACATCCATAAACAGAATAAATTAGAAGAGCAGATTTTGATGTCCAGGATACAATGGAGTTCCTAAGCAGTTCAAGAGAAATATTAGTCAATGAATACGGGAAATTGTATTCAATCACTGGTCACATTATAAATGAGTATAAAGTTATGGCTGAATAGGCACAACCTCCATGAACAAATTTATTTGTTTGGCACTAAAACTAAAGGGATTACGTCTCAACCTCAAAAAGTGATGGTTGCCTTTTCTTCTCCTATCAAAGATGATACTTCTAAACTTTAAAGCATTGTGGATTCAAGACTTACTGCAACAAATTAGATGCCTACACAAAAGCTTAAAATAAACAATGATTAAATATTATTTTTTTATTTGTAGAGAGAGTGAAATTGGTTTTACTCTAAGATCACATTAGGTCAATGTAATTTATTATAAAATCTCTGGGAGCAAAGCAGTCATTGTGGTGAGGTTTGTGCCTGTTTAGCCATAACTTTATGACCATTTGCAATATGTCCAATACCAAAAAGGTTTCCGCATATTATCCATAAGTATATAAGTATATTGGTGAAAGGAAGATTACATCATGAGAAGCATCGATGTCCGACATCAGAATTTTGTCTCCCAAAACATCTAATAGTTCCATTTCAAGGGATTCATCATCCTCCTTTGATATTGCAGCAAGTGAATTGGAAGGAAGGGCACGCCCACAATAGCCTACAAGGAATATTTCATAGACATCAGCAACTTCTTTCCAAAGACGAATTCTCGCATGCCTGTTATTGGTTAGATCAGGCGCTGATAGACATGCTAATTTCTCAATGTCGTCAACAAGCAATTGGTTGAAGCTTTTAACAGCTAGTCCCCAAAGTCCACCGTCAGGATTTTCTCTCCTTGTTATCATGCACCTGAAAGGACAAAACTGTTTCTTCTGAATTCAAAACTATAGAGAAAAAGGAAATCTGGGGGAGAAAAGAATTCAAGGACTAATTTGGAGTAGAACAGAGCATCAAATACAGCAAAATTTGATGCCATGCTATTGTACATACAAAATTAATTAAAATAACCCTGAATACAAGTTGCTGAAATGTTGAGAAAATTAATTAAAATAACCCTGAATACAAGTTGCTGAAACGTTCTCAACATTTGAGAATTACTACATAAATAACATCTGGATAGGCAAAGGATAGAACCAAAAAATCTTATGTGAAATGAGCTGTCATGAAAAATAGCCTTGAGATAAATCTATATAAATACATGTAGGCATGCACATATGCATTTGAAGTTATCAAACTGCGACCTTGCTTTTTTGACAAATAAACAGCCATCAAACTGCCAAAATTTCTTAATGCAATTCAGAAAATAAGTTTCGTCTGCTGTTCCTTGGCCCCTTGTATGAATGAAAAAGATGCAAACAATTACAGATGGCATAATAAATCTAGCATTGAGAATATGGAGCAAAGTTCTAACCTTCCAAGACCTTGAATAATGTATGGAAAAGTAATAGATCTCTCTGCTACTGGAGCCTGTATAAACAAATCTACCAAGACAGGAACTAGCTTTTCGGCAAACAAATCACTTGAGATGGTTGTTGCTGAATCTCTTTTTGAATCAGAGCTTGAAGATGGAGATTCTACTTCAACTCGTTTGTTACTAGTGGTCCCATTAGGGATATCACTCATCTTCATAGTATCTGTGGAGATAATACTCGAATTTTAGCTTCTAAGTGCAGAAGGTGAGAGAAGAAATACACAAACCAAAATACAAACATCCTGGTCATGTCAATACCAGAAGTATAGCCCCTCGATTCAACAGGCTTTGCAGCATCTCCTTCATTCTCTACAAAAGAATCAGAATTTGGAAGATAATGCAATAGCTTCTGGAAGAAGACTGCCCACAGAGAAGGAAGGTGATTAGGTGGACGTAAAAGTGGAAATATCTCCAGTACTACACGCTGCACCGGCGGCACATGCCCCTGTAACAAAAAATTGTTAAAAACGGAAACAGTACTCTCTTGCACAATCATATGGACATGTCTGTCTAGGTTTTCCAATTTAACTCAACTTTCAAACGATACCTAACTAAAACAATACAAACAAGATTGCATGTATTCATCATAAATAACAACACCCAGATATATATATATATATATATATATATAGTTTTATGGTTGTTTAAAATTCTGTCACCTATGCTAGTGGTGGCTGATGAATCATGATCAAGTATCTCCTCTCTTCAGGACACTTTCGAAGAAGAGTTCCAAAAATTAACTATGCAGAGATAAAAATAAAGAAAGAGAATGACAATTGATGGAGAATAGAACACACGTAGAGGTCCCATATTGATATGATCTAACCTAAGAGTACAAGCTACCTACTTTCGTATTCTTTTGACACTCGGTTTCTCCGAAAGACGTTAAAATTCCGGTTCTCAAGTCTAACTTTTTTTTTGATTAACCTGGATATCCAACCCGCTATCTGAGCCGACTAATCCCAGGGCGACCACCTGCTTTGCAGATAGCCCGGAGTCACCGCATTTGAACCTCCGTGACCACAAGGGGATTTTTATTCCTCCTTGGATTTGAACCAGGAACCTCCTGGTACTTTTGACCTTTGGAGCCAAGCTCAAACCAATCAGGCACCACCCTTGTGGTTCAAGTCTAACTTCTTGCGAGGTTCAATGGAGTTATCAGTAGGTTTGCATCTGAGCATTCATGTTTCTTTAACTATATCTAGAATGTATATCCTTTGGAAAATAGTAACACCTTTATTTTATCGAGCTACTTTCATGCCAAGGAAATATATCTAGACTTGACATTGACGGTGTTTATATGATGTCAGTATCTGTACTGCCACTGGGATTGGAACGGGTGAGCTAGATTTGACATTTTAAGATAAATAGATTTTGCTTGAAGAACCTCGTTCGAGAATGACATGTTAAAATGTATAGGCAAGTTCAACGCAAAGAGAAAATCTACTAAAGGACAACAAGTTGCAATCGAGATTTGGAACATGAACATAGTGGAGTTCCAACTCAATAGTAAGTTGAATAGAAGCTACCACAGAATCCGAAGGCTTGATCCATCTGATGCATGATGCCATGATCAATTCCGGAATTATAGTTTTGTAGGAGTGAAGCATCGCCTTTTACCCTTATTTCTATTTAAGGTCATGGGAGATTCCTTTTAAGCCATTATACCCGTTTTCATGTTGAGTAGCTAACGAAAAATTGTAATTGTAGATCAAAAAGAGCAGCAATTGCAAAACTAAAACCTATCCTTTAAGGTTCACCAATGCTCTATAGCGATATGTCATAATATTGCAGAGAATAGTTGGAAGAAGAGAAAAACCGAGAGCAACAACAATTGGCAGAAGGCTCGCAACAGAAGTGGAAGCAGACTGCAAAGAAGAGGTTTTCCACAATAGAACCAATTCCAATTGTTTTATGTGCATTTGCTACAAGTATATGAAAGATCCCTAATAACCCTTTGTTGCCTAATGCTTTCTACTTCGCAAACTCAAGTACTTGGAGGTAATTTCACCCAAACTCCAATTTCAACACCGGCTGGTATTACAAGCAATCCATCACTCGTTAGGGTTCCAAAGAAAAAAATAGGTGATTTAGGCATCCCAACTGTTGGCTGCAAAAGATGGGCAACGGCGGATCTCATCATACTTTGACAGTGATGGAATGAGTGGCAACAAGGCACTGTGATGGAACAGAGGGTAACAAAACTCTGCAACAAGGGCAGACAGATGCTGCAAGTGTGCCAAGATGCTGCAACAAGGGCGGCGAAACAATCAATCTAGGGTTTTTATGCTAAAGATGGCAGCTAGGGTTTTAGCCGGAGATGGAGGAGATGACCTTCGAAGTAGGCTACGATGAATCAAACCTTGAATTTATTGATTTTATTTGTATATTTAAAAGACAGAATACGTGCCCTATATATAGGACAGATAATTACACTTTAATACCCTAAGCAGTTACACTTTAATACCCTCAACAATAASGTTATTTAACTTAGTCTAACATTCCCCCGCAAGTTGAGGGCGGGGAACGACCTGCAACTTGAACCGTAGAAACTCAAATCTTTGTGAAGACAAGGGCTTTGTAAAAACATCAGCAATCTGGTCATCAGTGGAGATAAACTTGACATTCAATTTTCCTTGAGCAATCTGGTCATCAGTGCGGGCATGAAAGACTGGATTTGCAGAAAGATAAGTTGCGCCAAGATTATCACACCAAAGTGTGGGTGCCTTGCAAATCAAACCGAGTTCATGAAGAAGGGACTTTAACCAAATCAGTTCTGCTACAGTGTCAACAATAGCCTTGTATTCAGACTCGGTTGAAGATCGAGAGGCAGTTCGTTGTTTGTGAGCAAACCATGAAATAAGGTTTGAACCCAAATAGATAGCATATCCCCCGTGGATCAACGATCGATAGGGCAGCCTGCCCAGTCGGAGTCTGAGAAGGCTCTAAGATTAGTGTCTAAGTGAGAGTCTGAAAAGGCTTGAAGTTGAGACCCCGTGTTGTAACGAAACAATAGACCGAGGTTGATCATGCCCTTTAGATAACGCAGGATTCGTTTGACACCAGCCCAATGATTTTCAGTCGGAGCATGCATGAATTGACACACCTTGTAAACTGCGAAGGCAATATCTAGAGGAGATAAAGTGACATACTGGAGGGCCCCGACTGTCTGCCGAAACCGAAAGGGATCATCAAGTAAGGGACTGTCATCGAGTAAGAGTACTTGAGAGGYACTCATAGGAGATGAAATAGGTTTGCAATCCGCAAGACCAGCTCGGTGAAGAATATCAAGAATATATTTTCGTTGAGACAAAAGTAAATCAGAACCATGGTGTACCACTTCAATGCCCAAGAAATAATGCAGTTGGCCCAGATCTTTAAGAGCAAATAGAGAGTTGAGACGATCAATGATGGTAGTTACGGCAGTTGGGTTGTTACCGGTGATGATGATGTCATCGACATATACAAGAAGATAAACGAGCGTGTCATCAGAGTTGAGAATGAAGAGAGAAGGGTCAGTTTTAGACCCACAAAACCCCAGCTGTTAAAGAGCAATAGACAATTTTGTGAACCAGGCACGAGGAGCTTGTTTGAGCCCATATAACRACTTGTTCAGTAAGCACACATGATCTGGCCTGTTAGGATCAACAAAACCAGGAGGTTGGCGCATGTAAACGGTCTCTTGAAGATCACCATGTAAAAATGCAGTCTGGATATCTAACTGACGTAGAGACCATTTATTTGTGACGGCCAGTGATAACACGGTTCTGATTGTAGCAGGTTTGATTACTGGGCTGAAAGTCTCGTGATAGTCAATTCCATGTTGTTGATGGAAGCCCTTGGCAACAAGTCGGGCCTTGTACCTGCTAATCTTTCCATTTGCATCTGTATTCAACCTGTAAACCCATTTACAATCAACCACGTTAGTATTAGGAACAGGGGGAACTAATGTCCACGTGCCATTTCGATGAAGCGCAGTCAACTCTTCAGCCATTGCTTGGCGCCATTCTAGGGACTTGTTGGCAATGGTAAAGAAGGTAGGTTCAATAGGTAAGGTAGGGGTAGTGGTAGCAGTGTAGGCAGCGTATCAGGTGATGGGTTTAGGGTTGGGACGAAGGTTAGGAGGCCGAGGCCGAGGGGCTGGAGGTGAGTGGGTGGGGGCGGGATTCGGTTCTGGTGAGGACCCGGGGTTAGGGGTTTGGGAGGGTGAGGTTGGTGGGGTTGTATCGAGTTGTGGAGATGGTACGGAAGGTGGTGGTGGGGTTGTTTCGGGTTGTGGAAGTGGTACGGAAAGTGGTGGTGGTGGTGAGTTGGGTTCGGTTGGAAAACCGGGTGGTGGGGTAGGGAAAATAGATAAGTATGGAGAGTCGGGTTGGGATGGAGAGTGGGTAGAAGTAGGTGGTTGATAGGGAAAAACATGCTCATTGAAACGAACATGTCTGGCTATGTATATCCGTTCAGTGGAAGGATCAAGGCACTGGTAACCATGGTGAACAGGACTGTAGCCAAGGAAGACACACGGAGTGGARCGAWAATCAATCTTGTGATGGTTATACGRACGAAGATAGGGAAAACATTGACATYCAAAGACTCGAAGAAAGGAGTAATCAGGTTTGCGTTTGAAAACGTGTTCATAGGGAGATTTGTTGGAGGAGACACGAGAGGGGAGTCGATTTATTAAGTATACGGCGGTTTGAAAAGCAAAATKCCAGAAGCGTTGARGAAGAYTGGATTGGRCTAGGAGTGTGAGTCCAGTTTCGACAACATGACGATGACGACGTTCTACAATGCCATTTTGTTCGCTTGTATGGGGACAAGAACGGCGATGAATTATGCCAAGGTTGTGGCAGAAGGTAGTTAGAGGTCGAAACTCTCCCCCCCAATCGGACTGAATACACTTTAACTTGGTGTTAAATTGGCGTTCAGCCATTTTAATAAAGTTTATTAAGACTGTATAAACATCAGATTTCTGAATTAAAGGATAAAACCACATATATCTAGAGTGATGATCAACACATAACAAAAAGAAACGATGACCATCGAAGGATGGTGTATGCGAATGGCCCCAAACATCACAATAAACAAGATCCAAAAGATTATTGCTATGAAAATTTGAATCGGATAAAGATAGTTTTGAGGATTTTCCTAGTTGACAAGCAGAACACAAGTTATTTGATAATTTGTCCGAAACAGGTAAAGAACAATGAGAAATAATTGAACGAAAAACTTGAGCATGAGGATGACCCAAGCGTTGATGCCAAATGTTCGAGGAGGCTTTGACAGCAGTAAATGCAACTTTAGGTAAAGACTTGAGTGTAGGAAGACGGATGGAGTACAGTCCTTGTTCACTGGGRCCCGTTAGGAGGATAGTGCGTGTAGACTCGTCCTTCACAACAAAATAAGATGAGTGAAATTCAAAGAAAACATGATTATCGACACAAAATTTTTGAACGGATAAAAGGATTTTTTTTAGTTCAGGGACATGAAGTATATTAGATAATTTAAAGGTTTTGTTAGGGGAGTAAAGTTTTGAGGAGCCAATGTGAAAGATGGGTATAGAGTTACCGTTACCAACAAGTAAAGAATCGTTACCAAAGTAGGCCTCGGAGTTGTCAAGGCTAGATAGATCTGGAGTGGCATGGTGATTTGCGCCAGTGTCGGGCTTCCAAGTAGATCCTGATTGCGAACCAGCATCGGAGTAAGTAGCATAGTTGGCCTGTGGCGCTGCACGGGATTGTTTAGGCTGGTTAGGACACTGAGAGGGTAGATAACCAATTCCACAGCGATTACAATGACCATACACCATGTTTTGAGTAGAAGCCCAAGAGAATTGACGTGTGCCATTACTATCACGATTACGAGAGTTGAAAGCAGGTCGTGAGTTACCACGTGAAGATCCACGAGAACCGCGACCACCACGGTTGTTATTGAAAGACCGGGATCCAAAATAATCCTGTGGTCGTGATGAAGTTGCAGGGTTCAGTTGATATCCCAATTGGGAAGCCATGAGTTGAAGATTATGAAGTTGTTGTTGTATGGAGTCGAAATTGGGCTGCTATAGTGGTGTAGAGGCAGCCGTAAGAGGCTGCTGAGCAGAAGAGGCAGTCGCAAAGAGAGCCTGGGGAACTTGCGGATTTGTTGCCAAGATCCTTGTAATCATATAATAATGGTCACTTAATAAACCATGCAATTCATTGAAGTTGACAGGAGGGGAGCGAGCCAAGAGGTTTGCTTTGAGACCATTGTATTCTTCACGAAGCCCTGCTAGGTTAGCATAACCAGATCTTTGTCTTTCATTGGTTCGCCTATATTGGCTAGAGCAGTTGCATATTCTTGTGCTCTACTGAGGTATTCGGCAGGGTTTTTTTTTCACCCTTCATGGTGATTCGAAGTAATTGATTTTTAAGAGTAAATTCATGGGATGAAGTAACCGGAGCATACGCTCGTTCTAAAGACAGCCATATCTCTCGAGATGTTTTGCCCTGAATATGTTGAAAGGACTCTTCTGACACAGTAGAGATGATGAGCATACGGATGTGAGCGTCGTTGGAGACCCATGGTTGGTAGCTTGGATTGTCAGTTGTAGCAGATCCGTTTGTAACCTTCGATTCTGGACAGGGAATAGTGCCATCAATGTAGCCAAAAAGATTGTGAGAGGTAAGAAAAGATTCGACCATTGATCGCCAATAGCCWTAGTTYGTGGSTTTTAGGGTGAAGGCAAACTTGTGAGAATTATGGGTTGTTTTCTCTTGATTAGTGAGAGTTATGATTGCGGCCATAGTAGCTTGGAAGAGGTGACGGCTGGAAGAATGCTGCTGGAGGTTTGTGACAGTTGGAGGAGTTTCCGGGGGTTGCGTCGGCTGTCTGAAGGTCGTCGGAGGTTGGGAATGGTGCCGCCGGAAGTTACGTCGGTCAGGCTGGAGGTTTTGTTGGCTGAATTGAAGCCAGAAAAAGAAGGGATTTGATTGGCTCTGATACCAAATCAAACCTTGAATTTATTGATTTTATTTGTATATTTAAAAGACAGAATACGTGCCCTATATATAGGACAGATAATTACACTTTAATACCCTAAGCAGTTACACTTTAATACCCTCAACAATAAGGTTATTTAACTTAGTCTAACACGATGAAGATTTAGGGGCCGTTTACCAAATGCTTACCTTGTAAGCACTTACTAGCAAGAGCCACCACTGTCACTTACCTTGTCGAGTAACATTCTAGGCCATCAAAATGGATTGTTTGTAAGCGTCCCTTACTCGGTAACCGTTAACCAGGTAAGCATCTTTTCCCTCAGTTACAGGGCAAGCACCTTGGTTGATACCATGCCTCTTACTGGGTAAGATTATCGGTCCATAATGTTCACCCGGTAAGGCAAGTGATCCAACCAAAGGGCCTTTGGCCTAGCAGTATGTGAGTCTTTGGCCTCCTAGGAGGTCAGGGGTTCAAACCTCACCAAAAGTAAAGAAGGGGTGTGAGTTTATTTGTTCTATTTTGCCGTATATAAATATTATATACTAAAAGAAAAAGGAAAGTGATCCAATAAGCATTCCGTAATGGCCCCGTAGTGTGATTTAAGCTCGGATGACATGTAGAAATTTCCACCTCTTTCTCATATCTCTAATCATATTACAACATTGGTCTATATAGCATAATCAAATGAATCTATTCCTAAAATAGAGGCTAAACAAAATGAAAAGATAAACATAAAATATATTCCCAACCTTCTATAGAATTCAACACATTGAAATGTAAGACATGACAATAATAATCTTCTTTTACTAGTGTACATTCCTTACCTTGCTCGTGAAGATTTCCCAATATAAATAGCAGTTAAACACTCAAATGAAGCTAAAGGCTCAAAAGTAATAATTCCTTATGCAAATATTAGAACTCACAAATTCAGCTTCAAAATTACTTTGGGTGATGTTTGCTTCTTTGATTGCAGACTCAATGATAGAAAGCAACTGTGCATACATGCTACTATCAAACATCCCTTGTGCATGCACATATACTTCTCCTGTTAAAAACGGAGAATTCAGAAAACTCTTGGTGCATGTAGCAGTATATGGAAAATGACTATAAGATTATAGATTGACAAAAAGATGAAACATTATGTTTGTATCTTTTTTTTTATGTAGCAATACCAAGGAATATGAGAGATAATGTAAACAGTAACAGAAATGCAAAAGGCCATCCAAGGTCATACAAGTTATTACCTAGCCCATGTATTATCTCCTGCTTCACCTTGTTTGCTACCATATCATTACATGAAGTTGGGTTGCGAAGAATAATATCATAAACATCAAGAACAGATTTGAGATATGGCATTGGCAGATTTCCCTGGTTCAAAGAAATATATTGAGTGGATTGACAAACACAAGGTCATACTTTGTTGAAATGAATGTCTAACTTACAGCGCCAATAAGGACAAAGTTCAGGGGATATAAAATCAAATTGATTTCAAATTATTTTACCAAAATGTATCAAAACATGAAAAGTTGGCAAGATTCGAAAAACCTTTCGAGAAATAGCCAAGAGTACTAAGTTGATTACGTCTGATGGTAAACATTGCAATTTTTATGAACAAAATATAAAAAACCAAGGACCATCCAGCAGGACAGGGTTTCCTATACGTGTAGAGCATAAATAACATGCAGGAAATTTACCCTTTATCTTGATAAAAACCAAATCAAACCAACCCAGTGAGTCCCACATGGAGTAGGTTCTAGGAAGGGTAAGATGTACGCATACCTTACCTCTACCCCGAATCCCCGAGGGGTAGAGAGGCTCTTTCCGTAAAGACCTCCCAGCTTGAAATTAGTTTTAGAAAGTATGATGTTGTGAGAAACATTTGGTTCTAAAAGCTAGACAAAAGTTTGGAATAGAAGAAAGAGAAATGACAAATGGGGCAGAAAATGAAACCATATTGGGGGAATAAAACGAAACCATATTGGGGGCAGCAAGTTGTTGGAGTACTTCAGGCAAGTAGATCACCAGATCCAGGTGACCTGAAGAAAGCCACCAATGCAAAGTAGAAACACAACCAACGAAACTGGCTTACCTTGGGGGAGTGGGAGAGGACTGTTGACTGCAAACAACCTACTGCAGCAAGGGCAACCTCTTTACTACCATTCGCAATGCTGTTCTTAACGAAACAAAGCAAAGACTCCCATCCTGCAGAACACAAATTCAACTTAACCATTATTCTGGTTTCTTAAAAGAAAGCACACATAGTTTGTACATGATCCAATAAAAGGACTTACCAGACCAAAAATTGGTTATACTTCTTAATAGTGGAAAGAAAGTACGCAGGATACGAGCAATTCCACTAAATACAAGCACAAGTGTTTCATCCCATTGTTTTTGAGCTGTGTTACGACTGGATATTTAAAACACCATGAAAATCTGTTTAATAACTGTAGTGAAATGAATCAAGCAAAGTCTACATTCAGATACCTATGATGTATGAGCATATGTACTGCTTTTCCGCCACGGACGCCAAGTTCTTTCCCATGCCATTCATCTTTGGAAGATGTTGCAGCCTGTAATCAGATAATCGTGTTCAAGAGGGACAGCAAAAAAATACCATGAAGTATACTTACATACACTGCACCTTACCATGTGAGAAGCACGATCTAGAGTAGTGAAAACATAATTCCATAGACAATCTTCCCACATGCTCTTTGAAAGCTTTTGTCCATGGCTTCCAAGGATTTGAAAAAGTGTCCGCACTGCTGAGTTTCTAACCTAAATATGAATAACGCAAGTAATAGCCAAAAGTTAAAGTAAATAATGACTCCCCTGATGATGCTGAGAGAAAATGAATAGTAGAGGTTGCAAACAAAGTATACATGAAATTGCAAGCATTTTTATATACAAATTAGCATATATGTTGGATGATGACAGGTTACCTATACATTTAGTTTTCTATACCACCTAAGATAAACTGATATCGTATGAAAATGATAGCACTGATAACTAACCATTTTGGTTCATTAAAATAGTTCTATTATCTTCAAGCCCGAGTGTCCTTTGTGTTCAAAGAGTTGTCATATGCCATTAGTTTCAAGAAAAATATGGATCTAAGAAAATGTGTCATCGTCACTAATTAAAACAGTAATAATAGAGTGTACATAGGCCAATGGATACTGATACCCAATAGGACAAACATGCCCAACTAGCTACATGCACAATATTTTCTTTGAATAGGTTTTGAAAAAACACTAGTGTGGCCCATTGGCATTCAAAAACAATATCTAGAAACCATATGACTCTATTAATTGGAATTTCCTTATGTGCTCCCTGGTCCTATTCAGATTTTACCCATGTATGATAAATGGGTGTCACCACTACCTCCTATTCTGTAGTGGTGAATGGCAATAGCCATAGTTTTTTCCATGGTAAACGTGGTATTCTGCAAGGTAACACAAGCTGTTTGCCTAGCTTCTTTCTTCACTTAACCTGTGACATCTAACATTAATCTACAAAATTGATGAACGTCAAACGATATGTTAGACTGATAACAGCTTCATAACCAGACTTGCCATCACAAATAAGATATTTTTAATATTAACTCAGAGTCTGATAAGATATCTGAATCTTGCAAAAAAGAAATTCCATACAACTCAGCAGTCCTGAAGTCGGCATGCTTGAAGCCCAACTTGTAGGAGAAGAAATTACCTCTGGCCTTTCATCAGCTCCCAGATTTTGGAGTAATGAAAACACAGAAAACAACAACTTTTCATGTTCAGCTACGGTAATTGAGGGATCTTGTTGGTTAGCTTTTTTAACAGTATTCAAAGTCTGTTCTATCTTTTCACCATTCTTGTGGTCCAGAGTTTCTGCAGAATAGGCAATTTGAAGATAAACTAATTTGTAAATTTATTATCACGAAAGCTGATCAACTGATACAAAATCAGAAACAAACCTCTTCCCTTATCCTCTGTAGGACCCTCAAACAGACCTTTGGCAATAAAGTCGGTAGAAGTCCACAGCAGACCGATTGCTGTTAGGCTGATATTCAATTCAGTCTTCTGAGCACTATATGCACCAGTAACATCTATACATCTGAATGAGTCCAAGTGGCAATTTAAACAGTCAAAAGAAGAGTTGAAAACACGAAAAGGAGAAAAAGAAAACAAAAGTAAAAATCAAAATGGAAGAGCAACTCAGCAGCAAGCATTCATCTCAAACTAGATTGTACACTAAGACGAAAACCAATTAGAAAATATAACAGTGCAACCCAAAGACTTATGAGGAAGTAGACCTTGAGGGTTCTAGGACACAAATACCAGCCTATCCAACACTCCCTACATAAAACCAACTCCATTGGTATATTCCACTCACGCAGACCACTCTTCATAACCTCCCTCATACTAGTCTTAACAACTCTCTAACAGTCCTAGTGACCTCATCTGCATGTAAATTTCCTTCACAAAATATGTATCACACATACAAAAATGTACATACATGCATGAATATACATACATATGTAATGATGTACATACATGTATACATGCACATACATACATGTATCCATATACATATGCATTTATATGATTGTATATGGATCCATATAGATAGGTACACATATGTTAGACAAATATACATACTTGTACAAACATATATACATTACATGTTCCTTGTCCACTATAGCGTTTTTCCTTCCTATACAAAGTGATTACCTTATAATTGAACACATATCCAAATATATACTACATATACTTGCATAGACATATGTATCTACGTACATATGCATATGCATAGATACGCATCTTAGTATACAAAAACAATGGTAACATAGAAACTGAATGCATCTTTTTCCTTAAGTGGTCTCCATAGGTGGGTCAGGGGGTACAAACTATGCACACCTAACCTCTAGCCCGAAGAATACGGTTGTTTCCATGAAGATCTCCAGCTCATGAAAAGTGTGCTAAAGGAATGCATAGAAGATACAAGTTGAATAACTAGTTAAGAGTAAACCATAACATACTAATAGTAGTTACAATAAAAACATAATCACGGTAGAGAAACTACACACCCCTAGTCTAACCTAGGGCTCTAGTAACCTGACTACTGATGCACTAACCCTATCTCCCAATGAGCATATGAGACATTCAAGTTCATGCTGATTTTGTTTACAAGAGGTACTCGATACTGCTCGTTAAAAGGCCCAATTAGTTTGTCCTTTTGTTTACTGTTTATCCTTGTAAGCCATCGTACAAATGCGCACCTCGTTCATATATAAATAATTACTCCCTTCATGAGCAAATTATTCTAATCCTCTATAGATTCATGATAACCATCATTTAGAGAGTTATATACACCTTGTTTAATTCCTTTTTGTGTCTTTGTTTCATGTCATAATCCATCTCTTAGCTAGTTTTTAGTAATTTCATTTATGTTTCTGGGAGCTATTGGTATAATAGATCTTAAAGATGGTTACTTTGTTCATTCTTGTGTTGAATATCAAAGAAAGACAACTTGTTTAGATCTTGTGTCTTTGTATTGATATAACAGAGAGCTTGTTGCACATGATACAAGAATGATTGTAGAAATTACTCTTTTTTCTGCTTTCTTTATGTGTAAAATGGACTCAAAACCTTTTTTTTAAACAGATCCTGAGTTGTGAACGTGCAAATATCAGTTACCGTTCTTTGCCATTCGTACTCTCATTTTTTACGTTCAAGTATCCTTATTTTAGAGCACTTGGCAGACAGGTTAATCACTCAGTGTTTAGTTGTGTTGAGACTTGGAACTGAGCTTAACATACACAACATTAACTTAAATGAGCAAGAATAGGCTAGGAAAAACATATCCAGCACATAGAAATACGCATGATCTTGTATAGCTGGTTAGATCTGTATAGGAATATGAGTTATCATATATGAGTCCAGTGTTTTAAACTCAGTAAAGTTCTTTGTTATCAATGTTTAACAGAGTTGAGTTATGCTGTAGGATGTTCAATTTACTTCCTATTGATGTAGCAATTCAAGAGAGGCTTGTTGATAGGCCATCCATACGCTGCATGTATGGGAGGCATAAGTCTAACAATGGGTAAATTGGGTAATTCTACTAGATTGTGGGGCTGTCACTTGGGTTTGTCTTCTGCTAGGTGATTATGCATTAATTACCAAGAATATTTTAGGCTTTTTTTTTGTAAGGGTGTCCGGGCCAAAGCCCGACTAATCCCCGGCAATTTTTGGAGGCTAAACATGGCCCCACTTAAATGTCGCCAACACTCCCCTCCCAGGGCTCGAACTTGGGTTCATGACTATGCCATGCCCAAGTCTTTACCACTAGGCTGGAAGGTCTTTGACAATATTTTAGGCTTTATGAGTTTCTTCTATAGCAAACTTTATTCTTTTCAATTGTATGCTTTGCTCTGTGGTAGAGATCCACCCTCTTGAAACTTTGAAAGTTGGGTGTTCTCAATCTTACGCATAAATAAAAATCATTCCACAACTTTATCCTAAAATTTGTACCCATACAATCTTCCTTATTTCTGAAATAGTGTTAGCGGCAATTTGTCCTCTGAAGTTACTAGTTTCTTGTGTTGATTTCTCTTACTTTGAAGTACAATCCTTGCGGAAATGATATGCAGTATTTTTACGACTTCGTTACTTGTTAAAGGCAACATCATGGCCATGTGTACACTTGCACAACTAACGCTAATTATTGTGATAACAAACGACTGAGTTTAAATCTTGCCACATTTTACTTATAAAGACCCCCTCTTCATTGACCAAATTTGAGCTACTTGCGTGTTTACTACATTGTAGATAACTTCAATGATCCCTTAAAGGCCGATTAGACTAACAAAAAATATGAAGAGTTAGGGGCCGTTCACTAAGTGCTTACCGGGTAAGTGCTTACCGGGTCACTTTACCTTATCGGATGAACACGACAAAGAATGAGAATCTTACCCGGCAAGAGCGATGACAAGGACCGAGAGTCTTACACGGTAAGTGAGAGTGACAACTCTTACCCGATAAGCGCTTACCGGATAGAAATGCTACATACGATGCCGTTTTAATATACTAGAACTTTACATGGAAAGTTAAGTGAAAGTATTGACTATCATCGGTTTGTGCTTACTGGATAAGAGTCGGGTAAACGACCCCTTGAGCATGCTTGATCTATATTCCAACTTGAAGAGTGTTAGAGATGGTGGCATTTGTGGTAGTGTAATTGTTATGTGTGAATCCAAAACAATTAGTATTATATATGCTCCAAATGTTGTCAATAACGAATTGCATTTCAACAATATAAAGAGCTAAACATACTAGAACACTAATATGTAAGGATATTATACGTTAAGAAAATCCCTTCAGTGCTAATGAATGAGTATAGGTGTCACTTATGCTCAAAGTGAACAACATCTTTCAATTTTTAGCATTCCTTACTAGGTTGAACTAGATGTAGAAGTATCGTGAGCAAGAGGGGTTCATATTACATCTACAGATGGCACATTCAATAATACTATGCTACAAGTCATAGCCACAATGACACCAACCTAGAGAACAATCATATACACTTCTCATACCATGAGTATAATTTCATCCCTAAGAATTCTCTAAGTCATGTAGAGAGCACACACAAAGCTTTAGAGTGGAGATCTCACAAGACACATGATGAGCGTTTGATCATATGAATCTCTATATTTGAGCAGATACTAATCCAAATCATTTCCCATCTTTACATTAGCTTGATATTTAACCACTCATGATATCCTAGCAATAAACAAATGAAATCGTGTGTCCTACTTGCCACATCTTTTTAATGTTTTTAAACAAAGAAATATTAAATAAAGTGAAGGAAGGAGAGAAAAAATGGTGCAAACATGGTTGCCAACCCACAACATCCACCACTACCGGTTCAAAAACACCACCATCATTACCACTATGTCCCCTAAATACCTCACCATCATTATAGCCACAAACTTCTAACCATCACCACCAACTCTATGACCTTCATCATTGTACCCATCAAAGAGCAAAGATTAACGCCAAACATGTGGATGTTGCCAGAGAAAAACCATCGCCTCAAGAGAGAGAACTTATCTTCGAGAGTAATTTATCCAAACAACTCCATGCCTCTTCCATCAAAACAAATCAAAAAAAAAAAACATGATACTAACAAAGAAAGGGCCCTTGGCAATAAGGGAATAATAAAGCAAGCTTTGAAGAGTGGATTTCATTCAATACAAGGCCTTACCAACTTGACCTAATAGGGTGGGCACCTTTCCAACCCGATAGCTTTGTGCTGAATTTTTGTGAAATTACAGCTATATTGGCATCCACTACGTCTCTCATTGATTCTCCAACATGCAAATCCTTTGTGGGATTGAGTAAAGCACGAACCAACAATCCATGATATCAGTACCAAAATAAGAATGAGAGAAAATATATCATGGATCTGAAGTGAAGAAACATATGTTGAGAATACACGTTATATTTAGGGCAAAGATTTGTTTGGACACTCCATCGAAATTTCCATCTTTTTTATCAACTAACTTGAATATGAATGGAAATACTAAACTGACAATGACTGCTAGTGCGACTGCTATTAGAATTTTCCATGTTACCCATTGGAGAAGAAGGAACATGATGTGAGATGACCTCGGATTCAAATCAATTACTTACCAAAAAATGTAGTTGTATGTAAATGATGTGTATCTTCTTTTTTGTCACGTTAGCACCTGAGCTTAAGAGGGCAAAACCATTCATCTATTACTAGCGCAACGTCGTTTCAGATTTTTCCAATTATGATGGTTAAAAGTGCAATGATTACAGAAAAAAATAGCTTGAACTTTATAGTACACTGGTGTTGCTCAACACCAGTGGGGTCCTGAATGAAATGAAGTGCAAAGCACAAGAGCTGCAGTTATGACTCCCTTCTTTTCAGTACCAAATGTTTACCATCAGACATAATATGGGAAGCACAACATATCACAATAATATGGGAAGCACAAGCAGAAAAAAGAACATGAACATTAATGATATTGGCACACAGAATAGAGCAAACAGCCGAATCAGGGCAACAAGAGAGACAAGACAAAAGGAAGAAGATAACTGGTGCATAGCAAACATAGGAGTAGAAAAGGATAAGACAATTGCCCAGGTAGCAATTGCTACTGACCCTAAGAGTTTTATCAATAACCTCTTAGTGTTGAATAACTGGCCCGCTAACTTTTAGGGGATGACAGAGCAGACCAAGAAAGTTAGAAAAAACCATTATAAGTACAGCAAGATAACCCCATTAAGGTTTGGAAAGGACAATACAGCCTCATGGCAGCATTCATTGGTTAGTTACATGTACACACTATTCATTCAATGTGTAGGAAGGAACGACCATTGATTTATTTTGATCATACAACCAGACATTCGCTATGAAATAGAAGTAGATTCGCAAGCTGAGCTAGTCCAATAAAGCTGTTGGTAATTCAATTAGTTGCCATCCTCAATAGGGAAGCCTTAGCTTAAGGAAATGAAAAATCTAGTCCAATTTTTCACAAACCCTGTACCACTAGTCCCTGCCCTTCCCCACATTCAATCCACAGATATGGAGGGAGCAGGTCTCACAATTGAGGATGGTGAATCACCTTCAATCAACTTTAACCAAATGCTAATGTAAGTTGAGTTTAACTTCTTTCCTTCTGGAAATGCCTCTCTATATATGGTCAGCCTATCTGCTTAATGGAGGTCCCACGAAGGCCAGACAGGCCAGAGCTGACAGAATGGTGTGTGTCAGCCGTCAGGACAATGGAACAACATATGAAATAAATAGACAGAGGCAAGTTGTAACGAATTAAACATAGGACTACATCACACATGCATGAATCCCAACAACAATGAGCTGGACAGGCTGAAAACTTAAACATGCTAAGAGATCAAAACTTATAAAACTCATCATTAGCTCAAATACTTAATTATTTCAACTTGAAGATATGGCAGCACCAAAAACCAAACGTCAGAAAATTCCACCAAAAGAGGAAACACAAAAAAACATGACCATATGAAGCTTAAAAACTCACACGTGAAGAAATTCTGAAGGCACGGTAGACAACCCATCGTTCATGATGACTCGTAGGCTCTACAAGAAAAGAGAGCAAGTTGGATAAAGTAATTAATTACAGAAACAGTTCTCAATGCACAGAATAAACTAAAGTAAAACAAGTCCATAAGTATCTGGCTAGTATACTTTTTATAGACGTTTCCCCAGAACTACCATTTTTATTAATTTGATTGGATAATGTCTACCTTTCTTTTCGCAACAGTTTTAACGTCACCTAGCCCCCAAATTTGAAATAACAGGAAGAAGCAAAATTCATTTTATTAGCTATCTTGCGATAATGACGATAGTTTCTCACAATTCACACTTTTATCTTCACTAGTTTACAGGTTACTCCACTTTCGCCAAACTCAGCAAACGGCAACTTGCTCCACCAGTGACCACCATCAGGTTAACTTTGAACTTGTAAGAAGAGCAGATCTGCTTCAATTTTGTTCTTAAAAGGAGAGTGAATGAATCAACTGGAAGACATACCCAGTTTGTCTACTCTATTCGTTTCTGGTATATGAATAGTTCGATTCTGGTATTTGAATGGAGAGAGATGTCAAATTCTGTATTTCTATTTTCTGATATTTTTGTGCATATGATAAAACTCAGCTTAATTTTTCAGTTAAAACCTTGAGAAGTGAAAAGGCCAAAGAATATATTACAACTGATTTTACTTGCTTTGTGTGAGAACAGGATTCTGCATGAACTATTCTGTTTCCATGCACCTCAGCAGAATGGCATGGCTGAAGAAAATCTTACTCATCTGCTCAAAGTCACTCGCACTATATTTTTTTTAAAGGTCAACAAACTGATACATTAATGTCTGAAAAGAGACTTCAACTCAACCTAAGGGGTTATAGAGATCCATAGATATACAGTTGGATAGCTAATACTTGAGTGATTCATCACAATGTTACCAACTGGTTTAGGGAGATGTTCTGACTGCATAACTTCAAATATATAGGATGCCTTCATCTGCATTGGATGAAATCACTTCCCTTGACCTTTATGCCCTTTTGCATCAGCAATCCCTTCATGCCTTTATGTTTTGTCTATCACTCTCCTCAGAAGAAAGCAAAAGTAAATTCAAGATCAATCAACTATATTTTGGTTACACAAAAATCATACGTTTTGCATCAGCAATTCCCTCACGTCTTTAAGTTCTTGTGGATCTCACCAGGTTCTCAAACCTTCCATCGAGTGTCCTACTCTCTAGTACTCTAAAAAAGATCAATGGTCTCTTACAATGAAATAATGATTTCCTGGAAAGAGATAACAAGATACTCCAGAAGCTGCATCTCCACACTAATTACTCTATTCTTTAATCAGCAATGTCATGTGGGTGCAGCCAAGCTTTCTCGTGTGGAGCATAGTTTGGTGACTCCTCTATGGTGCACACATAGGTTTAACCTGCTAATGGGTTTTACAGCCTCTTCTCTCTCGAAGAACTTCGTCGAAAACGTGTGTTTTACTGAAGCTACATCCCCAGCGCAATGTTCATCACCTCTGGCCCATATCATGGCAAAGGATTTTCTGAGGCATTGACTCCAAAAAAAGCAATGATAGCTTGTGGCCACAGTTGTGTTGCCAGTGCAACTTCATCACTAGCCTCTCCATTAATTACATATCAGGAACATCATCTTGCGACCCTGAAGAGTTCCACCGGGAAACAATTCCAGGCAACTTTTTTACAATGGCTCTACAGGTATGATGATCCAAGCAGGGAATCTAATCTTGGCAAACATGATATGTTCTAGACCACCTACTCAGGCCTGGTCTATTTAAACATGATAGAACAACATATATTGACTTACCTAAGATATAGAACAGTTTCTCTATGATATTTGACTTAATAACTTGTGATTTCAAAATTTAGACAACCCAATCACTGCATCTTCCTCCACATAAGATAAAATAGAACTTATACTAGGTCTATGAGCCCTGCATCTAGTTGATAATTTTGTACAAGTATAGTAGTAATGGCAACTCGTAAATACGTGACTGTTATTTTACTAACCTGAAATCCGAGAGTGACAAGATCCTTTTCAGATGATCCAGCAACTGATCTAAAAAAGAAAGGAATGAGAACTTTAACCAACATCACAGCACTAAAGAACAAACAAAGATATAGCCAATAGTTACCTTAGCATTTCAAGAATATTTGGCCAGCTATAGCACAGCTTATCTCCATGTCTCTATAAAAGGTTTACAACACAAGAAAGAATATGCAGCTAAGAAACAAAATAAAGTATATGCTCCATCCATCCAACAAAAATTGCAAAGTTTGATTCTTCACAAAAGTATTTGTATCGCAAAAATACCCTTCGATATCAAAATAATTGGGGATCTTTGAAGAAAAATAAATATTTTCATGGAGTTTCAATAATGACAACTGCCAACTAGATAACTTTTTGCTTGAAGATACACCAAGTAATAAAAAAATTTTAACTAAATGGTGCAATTAATATGGGGCATCTTGAATAGAAGCCAACAGAATTCATGTGACACAGAGGAAATACCAAATACACACGTCAACATTTCAGGACTGTAAAACAATACCTCCAAAATATGTAGAAGAATTTTTAAAGATCCAGCATGAACATCACTGCTCGAACATGAACCATAGACGACATGTAGTGGAGATATCACAGAAATTTCAAGTGCCTTCATTTCTGTTTTGGTCTAGCAAAAAAACAGTGTGTTTATAAAGGGAACCGTAATTCTTGTACAGAAGGAAAGAAAGACATGATAAGATGAGCACTGAAAAATTGTAACATCATCACATACACCACGTTGTCTTGACGCATTCTCCTCGAACTGATCTGAACCTAAAACAGCAGAAATCGATTGATCCAAAGCTTTAAGCGCCATCGCACGCAAGTGGTGATTAGGGCTATTAGCAAGCTGCAAAAGTACCTTCATCATGTCAATAAGAGTTTGTAATGATGATAGCAGCATGTTTCAGAATGTATAGCATGTGATGTATATGTAATAACCTCAACAAAATGGCCGACAACGTCATCCCACAATGGCTGAATCCCTGCAACAAAATAGGTAAGCCACAAACTAAAGCAAATAACAAAAAGTTAAAATAAATCCTTTTGAATTAGATATCAAATAAGAGAAATTCCTGTTCCATTTTAGGCTTCTATATGCAGAAGAATATAATTAGCACCATGGCTATTAGTAGGATAAGTTATTGATTAACAAACTAAACAAGAACAAAGGAGAGCAGTTCCAAAACAAAATAACATGCTTCTTTTTATTAGAATAAATTCGTTAATGAACTATACAAGAAGGCTCTGAAACATATGAACAAACTATGACACACATAAAACCTAATGAAAGAATAAATATTAACATAATGAGAGAATAAATATTGTCTAGCAGTTTAGGGACCGGCCTACTAAATCATATAATAAGGACCAAACTTGTTTTCTATATCGAAGTTTCCATCAAATATCACTACCAAGCAACAACTGAGTTCAAGAAGGATTCCCCATGACAAATGATAGATATATTTATCTATAGTTTTCTCTTGCTTTCATTGGGGATATGTTTTATAATGTTTATTATTACTTCACCATACACCAATTGAGGTCGCAGGCTCATACTTGTGTACAATATATTTGGTCTACAACATAATAATGTTACACTCTATGAATTCCAAACATCAAGATTCTATGAGAATGGGGACCTTAATAAGAGAACCCCTAGACCCTACAAGGACACCACACCTAGTGGTCGTTTAATCAATTCTACATCCAGAACATAGTTCTTAGGATTTTGTTGGTGAGAGAGTTTAAACGGATCAGTCATGCATAATTATAGTTGATGAGGAGGTGTTGAAGGTCCACTTTCAAGGTCTCTATATGGTGTCCAACAGTCTTGCAGAGATTGCCTTGGTCACATCACATAGACTGTTAGTCAATTCGGGATATCGCAGAGCAATATTGATAACTTTGTCTTGTAGACGCATCATATTTGGTGATCTATGTTTATATAGTCCAGGTTATAGCTTACCCAAAATAAAATTCCAAGGAAATAGTTCAAGGTCATAGATCTTGGCACACTAACATTTTTTCAAAGAATTGAGGTTACAAGGTCTCAGGAGGGAACTCTTATTTCTTAGAGAAATTATAGTTCTTTTACTTGCCTGTGAATCATCCAAGTGCAAACCATTGACTCAAAATATTATTCGGTATATGTGGAAAGTATCATAATAACCCAAAGTGGTACATAAGGGCAGAGAAGACTGAATGTGAGACACTGCTTAACTGGGAATATTTTAGACTGTTTATGTTTGCTCCGTCCAGTGCAACTCGGGTGTTCTCTTCATTTCTTGAGGCATATCAACTATGACTCACAAAACCATATCTTGTATGCATCAGGGAGACTCAGGCTTGGCACCTTGATTGAGGAAAAAAAATTAACAAGATAGGAGGCTTCTCATACACTGGTTTATGCGTCTTTGCTTGCAGTAACATTGTTTCATGGAAGAGTAACAAAACAAAAATCCCCGTTGTTGGACAAATATCATTGAAGAGTAAGAAAGAGGCAATATCTTTTACTACTATCCAGTTGGAGTATAGATTCATGGCACACTATTACCTAGGATATGTAAGTTCTTTCAGATAAATTTATGTGTTCCTGTTTTGGTAGCTGTGAATCTTCTTCACATTGCAAAGAATCAATTCTTCCATCATTGCAAGGAATCAATTCTTGCATGGGTGTAACAAGCTTAGAGTGGTTGATAATCATTTGTGGTGTAATTATGCTTCATTCCATTCAGCTCATTTATATTCAGAACAATTACCGGCTTATTAATATCATGACAGAGCGTCAACAAAAATATAGGTATAGATCACAATCAATAACGTACTATGAAGGTTATTGACTAGGATGGATATCATTCTCTCCACCGCAAAACTAATGCTTCCTGTTTTCTGACTTGATGTTTGTGCAATACCACTTAACGTTCCGGCCATGGATTGATGTGACAATTGCCGGAGCGCAGAAAGAAGTGATTTAACTGCAGATATATGCATCAGTCCAGAGCTTTCAAACAACTTCATAGAAGAAAAGGAAAGAGGTTAGAACTTGTAGGCTATTATATAAAATTTAGGGGAGGAACATGCAAGTTCATAGAAGGATTTGATTATATCTATTAGTCAATAGTGTAATAAAAAGCACCTGAGAATTCAATGATGAAAGAATACTGAAGTCACTGTACTGGCCAGATGGTTCGCGAGTAAGCTTTGAGACAGCTGCAGATACCTCCTATATAAAGAAAGAAGATTTTCATAGACATTGTATTCACTGAGATTGGTAAATAGTCCCAAGTTGCAGCATTCTTCAAGGAAACAATAATTTCTTTAGTATTTGAGAGTGACCATATGATAAAGATAAGTTTACTATTCAACAGACTAAATGATTAACTGTAACTGTCACTGAAGGTTCGCCCTTAGAGGGGAACCTTGCTGCACCAAACCTACATGGCTTTGTGAGGATTGGGGACGCAAGTCCTTGTACAACATTCTAAAGAGGTTTCCTTGATTCAGCCTCGTGACCTTCCAATCTTAACCCCCCACTAAGTCATAGTCTCTTATCAATCAATGACCATCTTGCTAAAAATCGCAATCCTTCCCCATAGTGACTTGAAAAGATTGTTGACAAACACTTCTCTAGCAACTGCATTTTCTCATCGACATATTGATAAACGAAATCGAGATGGCTAGCCTTGTCTAGAAGCGATACACAGAGCTGTTTGTCCCATAATAAACACATAGGCACAAACTTCACCAACCTAAGGTCCTATAATGTTTAAGCCACATATATTTACATGCTTATAGACACAGTTCCACACTCAGAACTAGATCTTGCAACTACGTTCTACTTCATGGAACTAAATCTCCTCTAGGGAGGGTAAGATGTAGGCAGACCTTATCTATACCACAAGGAGTAGGAAGGCTTTTCTGTGAAGACCCCCAGCTTGTAAAAGGTTTTGAAATTGACTTTGTAAAAAATATTTGTTCCAGAAGTTTGATAGAAAGGGAAGAGATATGAAAGGAAAGAAAAGAAACCGAGTTTAGAAGAGTTGAAAAAGTAACAAGAACAAATAATAAAGCACGCAAGAACAGTATAAACTTTTAGAAGTTGTAATGTCACCCTGATATGATCATTATCTTGACATACAAATTTCATCCTGGAGCAACCCTCAAATACATCACAATTCCAGAACATGTTGCAATTGAGGACCGAGGAGCAGACATAAATTGACCAATACTTACAAGGCAGGCAACATCTTAATGTGTATCACTGCTATAATTAACTTACCGACTAATCACATGTATCTACGTCGTCAAAAAGATCACCACAGTCAGGTAACCAGCTTTGAAAAGGAGGTATTGTACACATTCAAATATACTGTTACCACTCTGCCCTTAGAAAACTAAAGCGAAATTCTGAGGGTTCCACTCACTTTCCTAGGTAAGGGAGTAGCAACATAAAAAGAATTAGAGAATGCCAATTGATTCTTCAAAGCTTATGAATTCTATAAAAATCCAAATGTGGGACTGGACATGATTCAAGAGTTAAAGGAGAAATTTCAAGAATTATATCAATGGCTCACTGTTGTAAAGTCAGTTCGATAAAATGTCTAGGGTTACCTGGGTGGTCGCATGCGGAGAATGAATTGCTCGATCGAGTGCTGCTAGAGTCTCCAAAACCTACAATGTAATACATAACCTGTAATACTTCTCTAATGCATACTATTGCCACTAAGAAAAAATATATATTCGGTATAGACATCTGAAAAAGCTAAATGGCCATACCAACACCCACGAAGGTCCCAAAACATTGTATAATCGATGAGTTATGTTGAAGAGAGTCCTTAGGGCCTAACTTACATGAAAGACAAAAGAAAACATCTTACCCATTAGACACCCACAGTAAAGCAGAAATATGATTTCACTAACGACATTCACGCAAAACATACCTGAACATTCTTAAGTGTAAGAACAACAACATCCCTTTGATCCACCACTACTTCTGTCCGCTTTGACCCCGGAGATAGCAAACTACGGCTAAAAGGAACACACACAGCAATGATAGAACTTAATTCGACCATAAGATCATACAACTATTAACAACTAAAATAATTTGAACAGGGGAAAACTTAGCGAGAAAATGGCATACAAACACACAACACATAAAATTAGATCCACCAGCTTCTCCCGGAGTCAGAGTTGACAATAATATATAAGGAAATATATCAAATTTCATTTCTATTATTGCATTTGGCAACAATGAAATATATCTATAGACACACACACACGTGTGTAGATAGATAAATATATATACAACAGTGGTTTGTTATCAAAATGCTGCTAAATGGAGTATATGGATCCCTAGGAACCAAATGTGATATAATAAAGAAAATTTTGGAACACAATGGAAATGCAAACGAACACAATCAGGCAGGCTCATATAACTGCTAATATAAGCTCAGAGTCGTTTTTGCATTTCAAGTTTAATAGGAGTCATACTTCTAATTCGTTTAGAAGCATTGATTTAGTACATTCTCCATAATTCTAGACGCTTAAGTTTATCAACTTCTCCTTGTTTGTATCTGAGAAGTACCACTGAATAGAGTTTACTGAGGCCCTGTTTGGCTATCTACTTTATGCAATTAATTTGAAAAACCATAATTAGTTTACAAAATCTTCTAAACAACAACCAACAAATCTTAAACTTGATCTTGATAGTTTTACAGTAGATGCAAGTGGCCTACAGAAAGATGCATTGACTATTGGACTTTACTAGGTTGAGTTTTCAAATCCAATAAAACACAATTTATAATTTTGACTTACGTTTTTAGAAAAGCAAACTCTTGCCAAACATGTCTTACTTTTGTTGTTAAACAGAAGTTGAAACTCTGTTTGCACTACAAAACAAATGTAAACAGAAAACATAAATTTTATCAAACAGGGCCTAACACTCCAACTTGACAGTCTCTATCAACACCACTACCAAACCAGATAATTACTGTTTGAGAAAGTCAATTCATTGGTTGATTTTAGTGTTTGAAATTTAGCTACTGCTTCTGGCAAATTCCACATAGGTTCTGCATTTTAGGGCACCTACTTTTTATCTCTCAAGTCTTACAAAACAATCTCATTTTTTATTCAAGAAATGGCATTTAGAATCCCAAATCCACATTGCATGGTTATGCAATCTATTTTAATTTTATCCTTCGAGCATCTGCAACAGCTCCTCCCAAAATGGAGAAAACATACTTTTTGGACTTTTAAGCCATTTATTTGCTCCAACAACTTCTCCAAAACCTCCTCCAAGATGGAGAAAGCAAGAGAGAGAGAGAGAGAGAAGATTTTTATATTATTGAATATTTTAATAATATAATCAATGTTGGAATCCCCAAAATAGAGAAGCTGTTGGAATTGAATGTAACTTCTTTTTGGAGATTCTGACTTTTGTTTCACCATGTTGGAGAATTTATGGAGAAACCATAGGAGATGCTCTTATTGCCCTTCCATTACGTGGTTTATCTTCTTTTCTGGATTTCAAAGATGGTTCCTAGTTTAAGCCTGGGAGAGTAGGTGCATCTTGAAGGGTGAGCATAATTTGAGTCTTGTCTTATAAAAATGGTTTATGCACTTAAGTTCATTCTCACCCAGTTCAAGGGACAGCATTGGATAGCTATACACTCAAGTGAAGACTTCAACGCTAATATGGCATCCAGATATCCATGCACAACAAGGTAAAGCTCAAGAGTTCCATTTTTTGGGCATGGATCAGATAATTGCGTTACTCATCCCAAATTCTCTGGAGGTATCAGACAGTCACCCATGTGTGAATGTTTCACACTAAAGGGATATGAGTGTAGTCCAATAAAGAAGAGTATAAGACCATAAAGACTTACATACCAATGGTTTAATATCAATCTAGGATCTTAATGGTCTCATCTGTTTGAAGGTATGAGTTTGTTGGTGTTAAGGAAGGTCCTGTCTCATGCATATTTGTCATGGATGTCAGAGTATTTCCATTTGTAAGGGTCTGTACTCTAAGGTTTCAGAATGTTAGAGCATCAAACCATTGTGTTATCCAATATAATGGTTTAACTACATTTATGAGAGACAAAGTCAGGCTCTATAGAAGTCCAAACTTATTTATGGTAGTTCATAATAATCATCTCGTGTTCCACAGTGAGGAACATGAGGTTCATATTGCGCACCTTTCATCTTTATTCAGCAATCAAATGCTTACAGATTGATTTGTAGCTTTTCAAGAGAGACGGCTCTCCAATGAGGCTCTCCTCCAATTACAAACATACAAAATCGATGCCTAATCACTTCCACCCCCTTCTATTTATATTTTTTCTAAGAACCAACTTAATCGACTAATAGACCAGCTCCCACAATTGACTAATTGACCAGCCCCCTTGACTAATTGACCAGCCACTATTATCCCTACTAACTATATGTGTAACAATACCCCCCTCCCCCAAACATCCACCTTTGACCGTCTTTTTTGGGTTTCCTCATGTCCAAATCGACATGTTCATCCTCTTTTGAGCTCGTAGTTGTCGTCTTCTTCAGCATGCCTTCTTGCAATTGATCAACGCTTTCATTTGTTTCTTCAGGATCTGAATATTTTCTTTTATAGATTTGATCACCACCAGTACCATGCTCCCCTCCAAAAATTTCCTAAAGTCTCCTTTTTAATTAAATGTATGTCCATTGGCTAAATCCAGCTGGGTTCCCACCCACTTTATTTCCTTAGATCCACCTGTATTTCTCTTCTGGACAGCCACCTTGCTTCTGGAGTTTTACACTTGGCCCCTTATTTTTGTCTTTCCAAATAAGTGCCTCTTAGCTTTGTATTTGTTCGCCGGTCTATGGTTGAAACCTTTAGGGGTTGAGAGATAGTTAAAGTCAGTTTTTGGGCTTAAGAGAAGGATATCCATTTGGGCCTCACTAGAGCATTTGAAGTCCTATAGAATGAATAAACCCTTAGTTTTTCTTTGAACGTACATATAGCCGTCCCTAAAAACAGACGGTGCAGATGCTGAAGCATGGAAGACTAGGGACAGAAGTGATGGCTGCTGCGATGGGGTTAACAGCAGCAGCGGTAGTGACAACGGCTGCGGCGATAGTAACGGCGGTGGTGGTGGCGGTGGCGGTGGTAAATGATGGTTAATGCCCAACCAAAATCTTCCCCTGCTGTAATTACCTGTTCTCTCTACTATATTCTTGGTCCTCTTCTTCTCTTTGTAGATCGTCAATGAAACCTGGAATAGTCTCTTGCCCATCCCTCGTTTCTTCTCTGCTGGAGCCTTCTTTGTTGTCGATTTACTCCTCACCGACACCGTTGACTTTATCTCTGCCTTCCCTTTGTTTTCACAACAAAATCTTGGAATCTTAGAAATGAGGCGTTGAGATGGGGTTGGGGTTTCAAATCTTGACGGGTTTATCGACCTTACCTGGATTGGTGACTTCTGGAACGTATCTTCTTGTGCTTCTTGTACTTCCTGTTCTTTGAGCATTTGCTTCACAGTCTGAAAATTTTCTTTTATGGAACTTAACTCTGATTGCTCCGGTCTTAGATCTCCTATAATCTTGTTAAAATTGGCGAGCAAACTCTTGGTCATCTCCAAGATCGACTGCTCTGATACCATTTGTTGCACACCGTTCATCTTTATTCAACAATCAAATGCTTACAGATTGATTTCCAGCTTTTCGAGAGAGCTGGTTCTCTCCAAAGAGGCTCTCCTCTAATTACAAAAATACAAAATCCATGCCTAATCACTTCCACCCCCCTTCTATTTATACTTCTCCTAGTAACATACTTAATTGACTAATTGACCAGCCCATTATTATCCCTATTATCAATATGTGTAACAGTTCATCTACAAAAGGTTATGTGTTTTTGCAACCTTCATATATGTGATTCTTATATTTCAATGACTGTATTTCTTATATATATATATATATATATATAACCATGAATTTTAGTGAGTGGATAAACTACCTAATAGAAGGTTAATGTTATGAGATTTCTAGCTTGCATCAAGTCTTTGAGAAGTATATTTTAATAAATAATAGGCCTTTTTGCTCCAGATTTAGGAGTTCAAAGTCCATATAAGAGTTGCAGCTATAGTATTACTATGCAGTCCTCGATGTTGTCATACTGATTATTGGTTTCAGAACAGCAAAAGTTAATTTTTCATAACTATCACACTTCATAATCTATGCATCACAAAGAAGTGTGGTAGCTCTCCATTATTTTATTATTACTGTTGAGCATGACATCATTAAAAATTCACAAAAGAAGACGTCCTAATCTTGAGCTTATTATAGAACCCAAAGGTGTTAATTAAAGATAAAAAGTATGTAAGAATTGACATCCTCAAGGAATAGCACTTCAGAAGAGCATTTATAAGCCATACGTGAAAGAATCTGTCAAAACTGTACTCAATGATAGAATGAGAGATGGAAGAATAAAGCCCATATAAAACCATCTAGGGAACTTTCAAGTACCTTCTCCTTTCAGTTTCATTTGATGAACTTATGGTGAATTTGCAGAGTGATGCAAGAAATGAATTCAAAGGTTCTACAGCCCGAAGAACACCACATGCCTGCGTGAAAAGCGGGAATAGCTAATGCACCAATAAAAGAAGGTAGTGACCCAAGAATATGAAGTAAAGAGCAGATATCTCAAGCCTGAACCAAAAGTAAGAAAAACCAGACCGGAACTGGAGTTATATGTGAAAATACAACCACACACCATCGATTCAACACAAATATATTTGTTTATGTTATATTGAGAAGGTGGGTGTGCGCTTGTGTGTTAAGATATAGGACAAAGATCCTGGGACATAGCAATGATGTGCCTAATCACACAGAAACAATGCATCTGTAACAACTCGTCTTTGATCTAATAGTGTATATCAACGCAGCTCTGGAATATAGTAAGTCAAAGCATGTGCTTTTGATAAATTTGTAGAATCTAACTATTTGCCCTATAATAAGGCAAATTGTTAGATCCAGCATTTAGCAATCTCAAACCCCTTTTTTGGCATATGAAGTAACTATAAAATATAATTGGGCTGGAAAATAAGTTCTGCCAGTCCATACTTCAGTAGTCCAGAGTGCGTTTATGGAATTAAAAGGTACAATAACTGCAAAGGTAATTGTATTAGTGATATTGGATGAATAGCATATATCACGATATGCTGCTTGTGTCACATTGCATGTCTTTTTGTCTCTCCTGCATCTTCACAAGCACATTTTCACTATACTTTCTGCTCCATCCCAAGAAAAGAAAATGCATCGTTTGACTTGACACACAATTCTATAAAAAGTTTTACTATCGATTAAATATCTAAAATACCCCTTAATAAAAACAAAACAAATTAAACTTGTGGACCAAAATCAAAGTTATCAATATCAAGTAATAATTAATAATGGACATGAATGTAAATTTGGACTGAAAACTTACCGACAAAGGAAATACATATAATTTTTGGGACAACCCAGAGAAAAAAGTTTGGCATTTTTTGGGACGGAAGAGTGTTTTTTAACTTAGCCAGATCATAGCAGACAGGATCAGAGTTCTCTTTTACATTTTTCAATATTCAAGAATAGCACCTCTGGGCTACTACAATCCACAGTACTCTTTTGTCTTTGTCTGAGGAGTCACATTGCAATTTTTAAAAGATTACACATGTACATTAACAAGATGTTATGTCCCTATATTGATTAGGGACAGCTGTGCATGGATCATTGCTTTTTAATACAATAAATTGTTCTTCGAGACTACTAGACTAGAATTTAGGGGCTACCTGTGTGAATGCTTGATAACCCTTCAATATCTCTAACACTATTGCCTCACCCTGAGATCTGTTAAATAGGCTTTGGTGAGAAACAATAAGTGGTTTTGCAATATAAACAAGGGAATTTGTTAACGAACACATTACTTGGCCAAAATCAAGGATAACGCATCAAGGATAGTCAACCACACTGAATCAACCATTGTCGTGCATAGAACTGCAGTTTTTCCAATAAACTTTGCCGGTGGATCTGAATCACATCTTGGGGATTCAAGCTGGGAGTAACAAGCACACGTATGTTATAGACGATAAAGTAGGGGAATAAATAACTAAATAGATGCAAAGTTACCTCACCAACGTCCACTGCCTCATCTGTCAAGGTAGCCACAGTAAAAACAACTCCAAGCAGACCCTCAATAGCCAAAGTTACCGCATGTGCTTCACTTGCAACCAAAACAGCAGCATTGGAAGCGTCATTATCTAAACTCCATTCAATTCCTGAAACATAGGAACAGGTTTATCAGCTAATATTTTCTCTGGCAGGTTAAGCACCTTCGTATTCTTAGGGGACACATTTATTGCAGAAGGCAGACACAAAAATATGCATGAGTTTCATGCACTTCAATTACATTTTGGTCATGCTATTTTGTAAAATGTGACATAATGATATAATCAAAATAAGATAAGTTCAGAGGCATTTGCTTCCTTAAAAAGCATTATACTCATACTTCTGGAAGTAATATCCCCTCGCCTCCGCAGGATTTTTCAGAGTTGAGATCAATGTATTTTTATGTGTTTCTACTGTTTGTAACAAGTCTAAGTGCTTCTAAGATAGTGGTGCATTAAAATTATTGCTTGTTTATTGCATGATGACATACACTTTACCGAGGCCGACTAAGCTTTTTTGAAGTTCACCCCAGTGGAGAGCCTAAAATGCTTTTAATTATAGCTGCTTCTTTTTCCTAAATAATTCATACCATCATCATATATATGTGCCTACAGAATGGAAGCTTAAGTGTTGTTCACAGATGAATTTAGACCATATATTTTGCAAAATTTGGCAGAACTTGGAACTAAGAGAAAACCCCAATTCAAATGCAGGCTACTCCATTACTCCTAAATGTATGATATTCGTATTACACTATTATTATTTGTTTCTTCTTATCTTGTTTTTAAACTCTTTCGTTGCTCAAGTTCAATGAAAGAACTATGGTTGAATTAGTTTGATATGAGTTTTGGAACTTCAGTTTACCGGTGATTGCATGACAACTTTCACATTTATTCTGAAGCACCTTTATGTCAATTATGTTAGGGGAGGGAATGCTTTGTGTGTATGCCAACTGGTCCCCGAAAAACACTGGCTTTTGTTTGTCCTATGCTTCGAAACTAAAGGTAAGCTTGATTTACACCACTCAGCTTAACAGTTGTTGCCAACCAAAAGGAAGCTCTAAGCAGGTTATTACATGATCTTATCTATATTTGTCGTTTGAACACTCTTACGCCGGCAGTAAATTTAAGTTGGATCCACAAAGGCCACTCATTATTACACATGCCCTATGTTTAAACTCCCTTACTGCTTCACTTCTAAATTAGTCTTGCATTACTGAGAACATCACTAACTTCCATTCCCAAACAACAGAAGAAAAAAAATTCTAGAAGCGGCTTATTCCTTACTCTCTCATATGTGAGATCCCCTTCTCAGTGCTTATTAGTTCACAAAGATTTTGTTACATAATCAACCTTAAGACCAAAATGATAATGCTAGATAACCCATTTTTTAAATCTCCCTTTTTTCCTTGAAACATATAGGAGTGAAGGTCTTTTAAAGATGGAGTACACGCTAAGAGGACTTGAAATCTTTGGATATCAAAGAAACCGAATTAGTTTATCTTTAAGAACATATATTCCTGAAATAGAAATTCCTGAGCAACATCATGACTTGGCTATAGAACTTTTGGATGACACATTGGAATTAAAGAATGTTGAGGCATTCTTGTTTGCGTTATGTCAACGGTGATTGTACCTATATATATCGGTATACTCCTAAGGATCTTTTCTTTACTATGTTGGGAATAATTGAAATAGCCATTTGTCTAACAAGCATTCTCACAGGAAATATGTTTTCCACAACCATATCACAACTTTGTTTTCTACCCGTTCAGATACTTCACATAAGATGGGCCCAACTATGTGTTGTATTTGGTAAAACGTAATTGTACTTTGCATTATTGCTTACTTTTTTGGAATTTTACATCCTGCTAAATAGCCCGTGTACACAACTAGTACTTAATTAAATGTGTCTTAGTCGATGATGTTGGGGATGGACCGAGAACAAGCCTATATTTCAAAGAGGAGAGGATACGATTCCCTATCCCGGGGGGGACGTGGATGGGTTCAAGATAAGAGAATCAAGGACGCGGACGGGGACGGGGACGGGGACAGGGACGGGGACGGCAAAACCCGCCCCCATCCCCATCCCCATCTCCATTTACGAGAACATGGACTGTGGTAGGAATTCTTGGAGACGTTGTAGAGACCTGTAGCTAATCTAAACTAGAGGAAGGGCACTTGAGAGGTGGAGGGTGGGAGTAGGGTAGTGAGGACAAGGAGATAGGCTACCAGAGTCCAAGCGATGTACCTACTTCTAATTATTTGGTGTTGCTTACTTTTGTCTTGCAGTAGTCGTCTCTTCACTTTCTGTTTCTTGCCTTAAGCTCTTTTCCTTTTCCCACTTCCATTTTCAAATTGTTCAAATTTTTTTGGGCAATCTCTCTTTTTCGCACACATTTTTGGCAAGTTGGAGGTAGAGGTCAAGCCTGCATACATCTCAACCCCCCCCCCCCAAACCAAAGACCCCACCCCGGGTGGGATATACTAGCCTCGTATTATTTGGTTTGGTAAGCATCTTTTTGGCCACTTGTTTGATTTATATCACTCAACCTTCCTATCTATCATTTATATTGTTTCTTACCATTCAATTGAATTCCTTCCTACATTAGAACCATGATCTAAAGGTTGGTTTGCATTCTTTCATCTTACTTAGATGTTTGATTTTATCTTAATAAGCTTAATAGGTTATTAGCTTAAAAGATTAAGCTATATCAAAATGTTTGATTCTAACTTAATACAAAGAGTTGAGTTTAACTTGATCAGCCAACCTACCCCATTTTAATGAATTCAGCTACGACATTTTCCAAAATTACCCTTATCCTAGAATTTTTAATCCCACTTCTCACTAAAAACTAAATAGTAGCAAATGCATAAATATAAAAATGTAATCAAACAATGATGGTGATTGTTTGATGACTTTATATTATTTACGTCATTTTAAATGATTCATAAATTTTTATATTTTTGTCATTCAGAAAATTTACAAACATTTATATTTCATTGAGCACTTATCTAGACACAAGGTTAAAATATAAGTTTTGTTATTCAAACTATTTATTCAGGACAAAGTCAAACAAAAGTTTATCTTAATTCATCCGGACAGATTTATGCTTACAGACAGCTTAATAAATGCAGGGCTTAACGTGGAAAAATATCAAACAGCCCTTAGCCCATCAACTCAATTTACTTTTTTAAGGACCCTATATTGCAAGTTTGCAACAACCTAAGCAAAACCTGCTCATAGGATTTTCCTTTTTACACAACCATTTGAGCATTAATGCAGCACATTACATTTTCTACAAGAGCAACATCCCTGCCGTTACTCATTTAATATTATATTCAATCTTGATTTGTGGGTAAGAGGGTTATGCCCGCACCATGAGTGTTTTGGAATAAAAAGCTTTTTGGTGTGTTGCAATTTACAACTTAGACAGTCAGCATTACGCCCACCTAAATGCCTGTTGCAACCCTTAGTCCTTTGGCATGCTAACCACATGCTAATATGATAAAACACAAGGAGAATGGGAGCAGTCTGACTGCAACTTCCATCAGTTCATTATCTCCATGCCACACTAAGAACGGAGGAAGTAGTTGACAAGTATCTTTGTTCCCCTACTCAGCTCTTTACTTACCACAATAATGCTACTAGTTTATAACGACAATTAACCATATAGAACAAAAGCTGGATGCAGTATATTCTGCCACCAAAAGCTGTAACAAGAATAAATGCAGTATATTCTGCCACCAAAAGCTGTAACAAGAATAAATAACAACAATGGCAATTCATTATTCCACAAACTTGACTACCAACATGATATGATGATATTTAAACATATCCATCATAAACCATAATGACGGTCAACAAAAATGGAAGGGGGAGAAAATTATTAATAAAGAACAAAAATTAAAACAACAAACACAAAAAATAATAAATATAAATGAAAATAAAAATAAAAATAACAAAAAACAAGAATAAAGATGTCATAATGGTCTAGATAACCATTCTATGGAAAGCATGACCAATGCTACTTCTCATTGTAACTATACAATTGAATGGAGGGTATGTTGTGTATTGTCTCAAAAAAAGACTTAATATGGATGGGAGTATAGTATAATGTGACTATAGCTTTCTATCATATCTGAACAGTCTTTTATTATATAAATAGCAATGGTTTGTCTTCAAGGTTTTTAATGTGATGGCTCATAATTCTATAGCACCTACATAAAGTGTTATACATTAATACACCATACCTACTTCTGGATTAACAATATTGTATAGTATAACAACATAAAATTAAAATGTAAACTGAAAAAACATAGATGCAACTAGGGAGAAGTGCACACAATTAATTTGAATGCATAGTAGCAGTAAATAAGCATATAAATATTTCCTCATTACTGACTATCATTACCCTTAGCTTTACTAGTAAACATTCCTGCAACAGCTACCAAGCTCTCCTCACTTGTGTCCTGAAACTGAAGAATGCAAAGATATTATAATTATTTCTTTTCTTGTTCATAGACAACTGAATAACCATATTACAAGACATGTAACTGTGTTATGAATAAGAGAGCATAATTGTAATCAAAATTAAGGTGGTGTTTGATTTCGACTTGATGAAGCAAGTGACTTATTCGCTAACCCTAGTACAAAGCACGCCGTGGCGGTCATGGTGCGCCTCAAGGCGCCATGGCGCGCCTCAAGGCTTACACAAACGCTATAGGCTTTATGGTAACGGCGGAGAAACGTCTTACGCCATGGCGTACCTTTTAGAACCCTGCACTGGAAGCATATTCACCCACCATTCATCCAGATTCTAACACAGAAAAATGACAAAGCAAAGTGCCCGGCCTTTTATGTGTACATAGACAAAACATCGCATGGAAGTTCAAGAATTCATTTTCCTCAACAGATCTTTTGTGAAGTATCCGCTTCAGTCATTGTGTTACCTTGGTTGAGATTAAACACATTGCATATCATTAAAGCCTTTTCAGGTCCAGATTACCTTTGTTGATAGTTATCTTCATGAGGATATGGTGTTTCGGGTCTATCCCAATGCTTGACTAGTGATGTTGTATGGATCATTGGGGGTATGCCTTGTAGATCATGCATATATCTCTTTTATTTATGCAAAACAGACTTTCATTAATCTGAAGTGTTTGAACTAACTAAACAGGTTGATAAAAGCATAAGCATATTAACAATTTGCATTGAAGAATCATTGCTCAAAAGGGAAGACATGTTGCCACAGCTTGAATGGCAATCATTTAAATGAAATGACTAGGAGCAACTATAAGTTATTGATGAGAAGAATGAGAGCATAGAAAATAAATAAAAACTAGGTAGTACCTGCACGCTTGAAACCACCCGAGCAAGAGCTTTTATCATACCCTCGACTACGTTTGTGTTCTTCGGGTTCCTGCAAAGAACATGGCACATCTCTATCTACTTTATTGGTCCGAGTGTGAGAAGTATTTTATAGACGACTTGGTGGAGCATGTAGAAGCATAAAGAAAGATTTATCTTTCGTGCGAATCGATCTAAATGGGCAGAAAAACAAAGAAGATAAAGATCCATTAATTTTTTACTGGTTTTCGATATGGGTCTGTTTATGACAACCAACAAAATTGAGATAAATCTGGGGGGGTTGAAAACTGAACTCTAGCGAATATTGAGGTGAACAGTCAAAAGTAAGCTAAAGTCAATGACATGTAACACTATACATGATAGCAAATGCAAAAACGTAGGACTCTTCTCTGCTCAGTTTACCATGCATTACAAAATCATGGCTCTATCACATGCCACGTTCAAGAAGAAATATGAATGCAATCTTACATGTTCAGGAAGAAACATGAATGCGGTCTTACTATTTCAGGATCTTCATCGATTGAAATTTGTATAGTAAAAGAAAACATGTGTGAAAGAGAGATAGGTGGTTTGAAAGTTTACATACACCAAATGTAGGGCAGAACTTTACCCCATCTATCCCTAAACAAGATCAGCTGGTCTGTTTACATGCTTTTACATGTTTTATATGTGGAAAAAATGGAACTTCTTGGCATCTGTAACCAAAATGCTACAATATTCAAACAAGATCCATATACAGCCAAGGATAGATCGTCTAGATTTCTTTCCCTAGATTACTTGCACTACAGTCTGCCACAGCCGACTCCCTCTCTATCCTCCTGGCGAGCAACTTCTCATAAGTTAGTGCATTTTGGAAACACTGGAATTTTTGGCTTGTCTTTTTGCTAAAAATAGAAATGAGAGCGAGTTGGCCTAGTGCAGACACATCATGAAGATACTGAACCCTTTAAACTTGGTCTTCAAATTTTTATGGCTTGCAATGAAAATAATAAATAATAAAATATAGAAGACCATACTCAGTTTACATGAGGTTATTTGTTTCTATATGTTCTTAACTTCTTATCATCATGGCATGACGCCACGCCCATCTTTTGTACTCAGATGGTCCATTCTAGATTTTAGTGCATATAACAACCCTAAACATTAACATTGCATCAGGATTGATAACCAAAACCCTAATCCCAATAAAGAAGCCATTTTAAACCACCATCATCGTCACTATTGCGTTATTCCAATTCACTGCCATCATCTATTTATTTCAATCATTTTTTTGGGTGTTCAATTTCATTCTTGTTACATCTATCATTGTTTGTATTCACATATCTCGCATCAAAAGCAAAGTTGCATTTCCTCAGCAAGGTCTTCCATCAATACTGTCCGGCAACCTGTTACCATTTGTCAGCAAGCCTGCACTATCTACCAAGTTGGGCCACCTTCAGGACTTGTGATTTTCTGATTCAGCCATGTAACTTGAGCACAATATTTCAATTTCGTCTGTGTGATTCTGATTTGCTCACTACCTATCCTATTACTCATCTACAAGGTTATCACCCTAGCTTTGAGATATACTCGATTCACGATGTTAGATTTGTGGCACTATTGATATTTGAGTTGCTTGTGAGATTTTTAACCATCTACCAAGATTTTGACTTGCTTCGAGTGTTAGAAATGTGGAAAAGCAATATGAAGAATGCATATTTGCCACAACTTAATAAATATAAATTTTGTGTACAAAAAGCAATGCATAATGAACAAGTCATCTTAACAAACTTTAAATGCATATCAAACAAGTCATCTTAACAAGCTTACATGTCAAAATTCAGAAATAGAATCCTCAAAGTATGTGCTTCCACACAAAAACCCTGCCGAAGTACAGCTAGTGATAGTTAGATGAAAGATTTTCGAAGGTAATATTTATTTATGAAAAAACTAGAGGCAAAAACTGAATAAGTAGTTAGTTGTATTAAGCAAGTCAAATTTACCCTCAAGATTTCAAGTACAAGAATGCGATGCCACAACGGCAAATCAAGCGATGTAGCCCTCACTAACATGCTAAGAAATACCTGTACATTCAAATTAAGATAGCCAAATTATATAAAAACAAAAGAAAGTCCACCAAGAAAACTTGCATTATATGTATACAATACACGAAAACCACCAAACTCTACAACCAGCAACCATCAAAAATAACATCCACAGACACTTTGGATGGATCAGATAGAGCCATTTTGACATTCAATCTTGAGTTTGATCTAAGGTTAGGATGTATGTGTTAACTCCAATGTATCATCATGATCAACGGCAGGAAATGCGAATATTAATATGCACGCATAGTGACACATAGGATAAAGATGATCAGAAATTAAAATACCTAGAGGCTAGAGCAGGTTAGAGTGGCTCCAATTGAAGAGATCCTATTGCAACAACCCATGGCATGGTTTGGTCATCTCCAACATAGATCTTGGGACAGTATGCTAGGAGAGAGAAGAGAAGCAAAGGCCAATGATGGATCGTGATCCATCCTAGGAAATGGCTTATAGACAAGAATGTGGATGGAAACTATTCATATTTTTAAAAGACCATTGTTTCATCTCTTATTAATTTATGATGGTTTCACTATAGCGTACCCCAAGTAGTTTGGGATAAAAAGATTTAATGTCGTATTCCACCTGGCCTCAATATCCCTCTGCTTCCCACTCTGGACATCAGTTCTTCTTCTAATATCCTTTCATCGATGTATATCAATTCATAAGATCAGTTATCATCTTATACATTGTAAGGCTCTATCATTAATAGCTTTTACGCTCTGGGCACTCTGTTACCTACATTAAAATACAAATATAAATGAAAGGAAATTGACTTCTACCAGTGTAACAGTGTTATATCATTTTTAAGTGTCTCTGTTGATTGCAAATGCTAGTCCTACACAATGATGTACAGAATTAGTGATTGGCGTCTTCATTTGTTTAACATTCACAATTGCAAATTATTGTATCAGAAGCATGTTCATCTGCTTTAGTTCTGGCTATCAACCGAGAAAGAAAAGCCATACCTCCGATTCAGTGATGAGGGATGAACTATAATGCCTAATTATATGGGCCACTGACCGCAAGACAAGGCGGCGAAAATAAGGTTCTCCGGTTTCACCTTCAATCTATTATGAAGTACAGATTAGGTAAAGTGAAGATGCAACATGATTTAAACCAGTAAACGTTGACAAGACCAGTCACCTCTGAATTGGTACGAAGCGAAGTCATTAGAAGTGAACAGATCTGGTGACGTAGAACCTGTACATTTTCAAGGCTTGCAGCAAGTTAAAACTATTTTACAAGTAAATTTCGCATGTTAGAGAACAAATTCCATAAAGAGATTGTATTGATAATCACCTGCTCATAAGGTAGCAGAGTTCTAAACACAGCCACATAATTAGACAAAATAAACCTGAAGATTCATAGGGCAAGCACAAGCATGTCAGGTCCTTTGGATCATCAATAAAGATGATCAGAACATTGTTATAGTTAATAGGCACCTTACATTGCATTTTTAATTTACTATAGTTAACATAAAGATTTTTTATAACCAAGTTTGAATTCCTATGGAGGTGAGTCGAACACATTCTTTTCCCGTACACAGATGAACAGGTACTTCCCTTTGCTCTATAACTTCGAATGGGAGGATTATGATAAAATAAAGGCAAAATTTTTCAAAAATAAGAAGTTAATTGATTTTGAATGTGTTTGAAACTGGTCAACATGCATGAATTTAGAAAAACCACCCACATCTGCATCTGCGGCAATCGAAAAATTGTTATGCTTGAGATGGCTTCTTTTGCTTCTCTTATGTATTTTAACATTTATCTGCAATGTTACATATCAGTATTCATTGGGCATCATTTATGTCCTTAAGTTTAGGCCCATATGTGAAAAATCATTACAAGGTGAAAAATCACTACAGTAATGAAGGCAGTATATCCTGTAGATACATGGCATGGTAGAAGAGACATTCAAGCAACATGAAAGAGTTAATGTGAAGGAAGGAAGAATCCTCACTCAAGTATATCAAGTGCAAAAGTCCGCTGAATGGAACTAACACGTAACCAGGTGGCCTGAAGAAGAAGACACATACCAACGATTATTACATATCTTCAAACATATAAACTTACAAGTACTCGCAAATCTAGAAACTTCTAATAGCACAAATTTTAGATACATTTAGAAAATAGTAGAAACAGAAATTAGCACATACAGATCCACCTGCAGCAAGAGCTGTCAGGTCCTCAAGCAAGCGTAGCCCAAGTTTTCCAGCTTTGGTTGGAGTCTCCCTCATCTTTGATTTGTCTAAAGAGACAAAGTCTTCCTCCAATGACCTGCTGAGCATAACATAGATGCATGAAATAGCTTGGAGTAACAGAATTCCTTCAACCTTACATACCAATATTTTAGAAAGGTAATTCAACAGGAAAACAAAAGGAGAGCAAACATAAGATGGGAAACAAAGTGTGCATGTGTGTGTGAGAAAGGGAGAGAGAGTATGCCTATACATCCACGAATACTTTTATATTATTGTAGGCATAAAAGATCTAAAATCGAAGTGTAAGTATTAACAAGCAAGTTTCAGGCACTTGCAGTGGAATCATGTACCGAGTCATTTAATTGTAAAAACAAAAAAAAACAGTCCATGTTCAAAATATGTTACATACTTGGAGTTGTTGATGCTATGATTAACGTCAATAGTAACTGAAGCACTTCGTGAAACATATCCACCATGAACAAACTTGCCAGCAGGAAGTGACTCGGAAGAAACAACATGATCAAAAATTAATGCCACTGCTTGTCTGAAAGTAGCTGCAGCAGTACTGGGAATGATTTGTGTCAAAGAAAGTGAAAAAATTAGTTAAGACAGAACTACATATAGCTCAAACAAGAAGATGAAATCATGGGAACTTTTCATGGATCTCCCTGGAATATGACCATAATCCAGTTCTAGGCATCAATCATTACTGAAAATCAATAACATAATGAGAAAATTAAATAAATAAAAGTATGTCCCAAGTATTCAACTAATAGAACATCAAAAAACCCAACTAATAAAAGGAGAGATGCCATCCCCTCTCACAAATACACCACCCTCTGAAAACGGTCTTGATAACTAATTGAGTATGCAATATTAATTGATAAACAAATCTCTGGTTATGAGCCAGATGTTCCTCTCCTACATCTCTTCTCTAACCAAACCCCTCAAATTGACAAACAAAAAGTATCCCTTCGTTCCTAGTAGCCAATCGTGTCTCCCACCTAAGCCGCAAATCACTTACCTTGAGTACTCTTCATTTAGGCCACAAAAAACTTGCATATTCTAAAGCAGAGATACTAATGTGGAAAACAAGATGAGAATTCAGTTCACTGATCAACAACCAATTTGGTAAACCATACCTGACTGCACCTCATACATATATATATATATATATATATATATATATATACGTTGTACCTGAACTTTTAGATAATCATAGCTGATGAGAACATCAATGCTCCTATTACTCTTACAGATCCTTACATATACAGCTCCTCAAAAAATTAAACTCTGAACTTAAGATGGTTTGCTCCTTGTTCCTAAGAATGAGCCATATGTAGGCCTTTAGCAACAATAGAGCGCAAGTTACACATGTGGCGTATGTGGTGAATCTTCTTTGGCATGCCAATAGCTTCAAGAACTCCGAGTCTTGGTGATTTGCATGATTACATCCATACTATCCTCTTGCTATCTGTGTTGTCAATATTCTAATTCAACAGAATATTACCTTCGAAGTGGATACAAATGATGCAGATCTTAACGACAGGAAGTGAACAAGTTGAAACCAGTTCTGGTTAGGAAGATTTCTCTGAACTATTACGTTGACATGTTGAAGCTCTGATTTCAAGTTGTTTCTTAAGATCCTAGTTGGTTTACAGATTAGGATTATATTCCTGGTTGATTTAGGATCTCTATTAGAATTAGCGAATAGCAACAGGAATCTACTTTTTACTACCATATAAACAGTTACATATGCATCGCAAATCATTATCCACATCATTCCATCTATATTTCCAGAAATCTTCATGACACTTGCTATAATAAGAATTAATGTTAATGGCTATCTTGTGGGTTTGCATAACTCTCAGGCGGGTACTATGGAAACATAAGAAGAATACATGATTCCATCTTCTGTCAACGGATTGTAACATCTATGTGAGATTCCATCTTCTCAGGTTGTACCATATAGGGAAATTGTAGACCACATCAGTGAAGATCATGCAAAACATGTATCATTATTTTTCATTCTACACCCAATCAGGATGCATACTATTACGGACCTCGTTCTGTCCTAAAGCAAAAAACAAAATGATCCATTGTCACCTCCATCATCCAAAGCCAAGCGATACCATCAATACCCCTATCCCTTGTTCTTCCTCCCAACTTACATGCTCCAGTTGCTCAATGTAAAGCTACAACGTACGTGATGCATTTAATCTTCAACTTTTTCTACCTATATTTTGTCCCCCGGCTATTAACACCAAATTAATGTGTTTGATCTAGAGAAGTTCTAGTATTCCAACAGGATATTTGATGCCCTTGTTTTTCAAATTGACACCTATAATCTTCGAGTTTATCTGTTCCTCTTATTGTGCTTCAATTGTACCAATTTCAAGCTTGGAGACTTTGGCCAAAAAAGAATGCAAATCATCTTGTTGTGGTTCCATGAAGTACGAAAACCAACCACTTGTGTTTGGAAATGAACCACTTGTAATAGACCTATCAATTGCATAATACCTGGTAGCCTCCTAGACTCCTACCGATAAAAATCGGGGTTTATGCCGAAGAATTAGTTAACTAACTACAGGTAGCCCTAAAGTTATGGTTTCGAAAACGAAAGATGTAGTCCCGAAGCTTGACGATTCCAAAATTTAGCTCTAATGCCACTTTCATGTAAAAGAAAGGTCGGGAAGAGGAAGAATTAAGGGAAGAAACAAGAGCACAAAGGTAGGAGATGAGAAGAAAGAGATGTTCCAAAGAACTTTAGCAATTTCAATATTATGCAGTCTTGTAACAATATCCCCATATACAATAACCATAAAGCTAACAATAATAACAATGTTAACACCTATACTAGGCAGCTAATGATAAAGCTAATAACTACCCAAACAATATAATAAAATGATAAAGGTAGTAAGCATCCTACTAACAAGTTTAATATCTGAATACATCCCTACAAGACTATTGCACTTATACTCATCTTACTAATAAGCAAATGCATTTGTATGCGAGTAACAATTACACAATTTCTTCTTTTAATTTCCGTTAATGCCCTGTTATTTCCATCAATTAGGATCAAGATCATGTCCCATTCTTAGTTGGCTTCATATATTAATTGTGGAAGAGAAGATTAATGTCATAATAAAACATGAAAATCTCAAGCAGGTTCCCCCAAATCAGAAATATTTGGACCAAATCCTTCTTTCAGTTGAAGTATTAGAAGTTTCGAGTCGGTTATCTTTCCTTCCTAAATTTAGCATTGTTGTTTCCATTATTTTTCCTTCCATGGTCTAACTTTTATTTAAGCACTACAATAGTGGTCGTGAATCTAGAAAGAACGGTTAGGAAGTATATGTATTCAATCTCTTCCAAGGAATGAATGTATCATCAAAAGATTATTCCAAACTGTGTGATTTGTTCTCACCCGAAAAGTTCACTTAGTCATTATCGCATGAGCTTTGGCTAGGACCTAACATGTTATAACCATAACCGCGAACAACTTAATTATTTGAAAATAAAACAACTCAGTTTGTCATTTCATTATGTGGAATATTTGACATTTTAAAATCAATAATGACAATCAAATACAGGGGTAGTTTTTTTGCACTTCAGTTTAAGCTACAGGTTATATTACTGGTTTACCCTTCAATATAAATGCAATGACCCTTTACTCTGGTACTAAATCAGTTGGAAAAGTGAAGCAATGGAGAGAAGTGAGTTAGTGTGTAATAACGATGCAAGACAATGGAATATTCCATAACAGATTGGGTTAACCCTTTTGTAAATATGAACTATAATTTATCGGTTGCATCTTACTTCCGCACGCTGTCAGAAGATCTGTTGTTCTCAAGAAGGCGGAGACAGATACCAAGAGCTTGGGCAGTATGCTCCTGAGATTCACAAAACAATTAAGTTAACAAGGATGTATATGGCATATCCTCAAGCATGTTACCATAGTAATCATCAATAGCTTCGATATCACCAACAGAGTCGGATTACAAGTGGAGATGTTAGCATGATTAAAGGTTAGTATGAAAAATTCCCAACTCTATAGTTCCTTACAAAATACTAATACTAGCTTCGACCAAGAGAGAACAAAAGATAAAAAAAATTGAACATTTACCAAGATTCGTCATATTCATCAATTTTCATCTTTGCCTTCTATGACTTCTGATCTCTCTCCCCCCAAACATATAGATGCTCACTTTGTATCTTTTTCTTTCTTTTCTGAAAACTAAGATATATATTCTATTTTCTCAAAGGAGATTAAGATGTAGATTTAAGATATATATATATATATATATATAGGGAGGGTTCGGCTCAATTCTATAACAGGCATAACGGGATAAGAGTACTGGTAATGTCACCAGCATGGCACCACCCCCCTAGCAACAAAAAACATCAAAACCGTTTCCAACTTCAAAGAGATCACTGATTACATGGATCATATAGTGGCAACATGGGCAGTGACAGTGCTGGAGCTTCGGATCAGGAGAGATGGTGATGAAAATTGGGTTTAGGAAAGATAATGGTGGAGGCTGGGTTTGCATGAGATGGTGCTCAAATCCCGAGCAACAGTTGGGTTCGGGGCTGCTGCTGTTGGTGGTGGTGGTGGTGGTGGTGGTGGTGGTGGTGGTGGTTGTTGCTTGGTGATGATGATGAATGGTAATCATTCTTTTTGTTTCTGCTAATCGTTCTTCTTTCGTTTCTGAGATAAGCCAGTTTGGGTAAATCAAGGGAATAAACCTAAAGTTCATCACTAACCCCAAACTATGCATCCATGCCTCATCGGCAACTTCATTACTTCATTCAATGGAAATAGTGACATTATGAACACCTCTGTTACCTCACTCAAATGAGCAATAAAATTGTAAGTTGCATATAACAACAGTGTGTAAAATAACATAACAGTAATAGGGTGTGCAGTTCTTTACACTGGTTATATTTTTCTTGAACTGTTTCTATTTTTATGTTATTGCTTACTCATATCTAGCATTTCAATTTTTATCTTATTTGCATTTCTCTCTTTTGCACACTTCTATAAGTTGGGGGTCTTCATGGAAATAGTTGCTCTCTTTGAAGTAGAGGCCAGATCTGCGTAATTCTTACCCCTCCACAACCCCACCTCCAGGTGGTATATATTGGGCTCATCTGGTTTGGTTTTGTTCGGAATAGTAATAAGTACTGATTCTATTACTTTTGTCATGTTCCTCCAATCCAAGTCTTTCACCATTCTGAAGAGGTTTTCAAAGAATAGAAAGCAGTAACAGGTTTATGAGAGAGTAACACAGCTTCACATTTGTGTCTTTTTGTTTTTTGATCTTTTAGCTAAAGATCTTTCGGGAGTGTAAAATAGAAGGAAATGGAGGTCTAAAATAAAGATAAAAAGGTAGAAGGTTAACCCATCTAAACAAAAAGAAAAAATAGTGCTTCAATTCAAGTTTGTTGGAGTGAAAAAGAATCTTCTAAGATTAGAAAATAATTATTAGAAAAACCAATGCATGAAGACACAATTGATATTACTGTACATGATCATAGGAAGAATAAACAAATACAGATAGCTTGAAAGAAGAAAATCAAGAGGAAGTACAAAAAACACTCAGCAAAGGCATAGCTTAAAAGCATCATTGCAATTCTCACCTCACCATCAGGCTGTAGACGGGATTGAAAAATTATGAGTACTGTTTGAAGGGTCTTAAGTTGAACACCTTCGTCTGCCATCTCACCATGCTGGAAAAGCAACAAAATTATAATGGTGCAACTACAGATAAATATATCTTGAGAAGTTACAATTAAATGAGTTTGCTTACAAAGTAAATGTTCCAATAGAAATCCTTTAAGGCCTATCCTTAATGAACAAATTAATGAAAAGAGTCTGTAGACATCTAGGAAAATTAGTTTACACAGCATCCCAATATAATAACATGTCAAAACAAGTAATACCAAAACATATGCTACACAAGGGAGGACCTCCTGGTTCAGAGCGAACGGCACAAGGCAAGCAAATATCTCCAGAAGTAAAACATTACCAACAAATACTAGTTGTGTACCCGCGCAATGCGGCGGGAGCCGTGAATTTTAACGATTTTGAAGTTTCACTGGTTYTATTAGAGAAGATTTAACGATGATATAAGTTACACTTGGTTTTTACATATTAATACAATTTGAATAAAAAAGAAATATGGTTCCAATTACAGTCTATCGATAAAAAAAATTGTATGACAGTTTAAAATCAAATATATTTAAAATTCAACATATTTCAACGACTCCACAAATGCGTTCAATTTAAACCAAGAGCAAAGAATCAAGAGATTTGAGAGTGAGACCGAGAGTTCTAGAGCAATTGAATGAGAGATGAATGAGAGAACTTTTAATAACTCATGGTGAATATCAATTTGAATCTCACATTGGGAGATGGGGAGAAGACATAGAGGTATGAGAGGGTGAAGGCATGAGTGAAAGGTGTCAAAAGTATCTTGGGAACATAAAAAGAAAAGGTAATAATGTGCATTGGTAAGTTTTACTATATACTATTTTAATTGTAAATTAAGAGATTTTAAGACTGAATGCATAAAGTAGTAGTACTTAATGCATTATGAGTTGTTATTAAGACTTTGTGCATAAATGTATAGTACTTTGTGCATTAAAAATTGTTTTTAAGACTTTTGATAAATCTAGTTTATAAGGTAGTATAGATATAGATACAGGTAGGTTTTGGGCCTGAGGATTCCTTTTTCAGGAAAAACTTCATCGCCTCACACACACATACACAGTTTTCTTTCTTTCCAAAGATTTCTCAAAAAGTGATCAGCTTTAATCTTATCTCTTCCATATATATTTTAATCAAGGCAGTGTGCGTTTATTAATATAAAACTCCTTTGGGCGGTGGAGGTTTATTATATTTTAGACCTTCTTTTCTTAACCATGAAGTTTGCATAACCATATATTTTAATAATATTTCCTGTTATGCATTAAGAACTAACCAGATAACAGATTTTATATACTAACCCCTGTGCAACTACAAATTATTTATCTATAAACAGAAAAAATTAGAATGGCCTTTGAAACCCCTAGGAACTAACTCGTAATAGTAGCTCCAAATTAATTCTACCATATCACTTGATCAAGAACTACTTTTAATAAATCTCATGGCAAAGCAAATAGATGTGAGCAGGTGTCATTGAAGCATTATCTTTCAGCCTTGTTCAGTCTTCAGACTACAAGTCAAGGTAGCAATTTTAGTTGGTGTATATCTGACCATCAACCAACAACAAGAATAATCGACCAGGATAGTCCTCCCAATCAAACGTCAGTTTATAACGAACTAAGGTTAGGTCCAAGTTTGGTGCAGGTACACACAGGCAAATGAAATGATCATCAGATTATGTTAGTTTACCATGTTTGCATGCTTACTTTACTATGTTCTGCAAGGATTGATATTAGCCTTCTTGGCCTACATGACACTCAGCACTGATATTCGTAAACAAAAATCAAGAGGGTTTTGACATTAAACATAGGTAAAATAAATAAATTACGAAGAAAAAGCTGCTCTAAATATATCACATTCTTTTTCTGTCTCTGTACTAATGCAAATTTCCATTTTGTTACCTTCCTCTAAAAGTAATTCTAGAAACCAATGATAATAAATTGTCTTATAGCAATAAACAGTACACTAACTTGGTAGCCTGAAAATGAAAACCTTCAGAAAATTAAAGAGATGGACAAAACAAATTAAGGCTTTAGTGACACAAATATACAAAACCAAACTGTTTCACTTATTGTAGAACACTGTTGCATGGATCAAATCCCTTTGCAGTACAAAACAATGAACAATTAGGAAGAAAGATATAACAGCACTTACATCTTTTAGGGTGGCAAGAATCTCATTCAGAGCTGGTGAGGCTACAGCATCATGTGCTATGAGCTTTTGCAAACAGGATAAGCCAATGACGCTCAATTTAATCGTCTTAACTTCACATGCCATCAAAAAAATCCTCAGTATATCGTCATGTTGTGCAATTTCACTAGAACTTGACAACGATCGGAGCTGCAATGTTACAGATAGCATACACAAATCTCAAGCTCAACTCTTAATTACCCTATAGCCATGTAACAAGCTCAAGTTGGATCACTCATGCAAAAGATGTTAATCATCTTATTCAGCTTCCCTTGCATGTGATAGATACACAAAAATACTAACAGCAGGTTTTAGGCGGTAGCCTTATTAGCACCTCCCAAGTAAAGATGCATTAAAATAGTTTAACAAAAGATAATAGCCCATTGTAAGACACGAAAAGCCTAGGTTGCTCAACAATTTTCAAATTAAGTTTTTTATGTATTGATCACCAAATACACAACTCTGTACAGCAACTTCTGCTAAACACTCAAGTTCATGAACCAACAATTCATTCATCAGCTATATCAAATTAGTATCCGTACACTGGTTCATATTAAGATCAACATTCGAACGTAACAATACTAGTAAACAAAAATGAAATCAATCGAGCAGAAATGTCGCAACGTAAGGAAAGAAGATAACAGAAATTCATTTTTAAGTAAAATTAACCTTCAAGATTGCGTGCTCAGCTCCGTCTTTGATGGCCGGGTACCGACGGCGTGCTTCGGCGGAGAGCGCGCGTAGATCTGACTCCAAAACCGCCATAAAAGCCATCCCCTTCCTCTATCTCTATCTATATCTATTCACACATATGTGTTTTTGGTCGGTTCGATCGATCGAAATCTTGAACTCAGATTTTTCGCTTACGGATCTTCTTCACTTCGCAAGGAAAAAAGAAGTCAGTTGTCTTGTTTAGTTGCTCTGCACGTGTTCCGTGCAGAGAAGCGTAGAAGAGCAAGGTCTGAACCTAATGGGATCTCGATGGGGTTTGGTTTATTTACTTTGTTTTTCTTAATCACAAATGTATTAACATATACTAAAATTTGTTTTCGTTTCTACTCATACGGTATTTGAGATTGCTTATAAAAACAACTTATTGATTTATTTCGGTATGATATCGGTAATAAACATTTTTTAGTATTTAGATAAACATCTTATACCGGTGTCAAACTGATAATAAAAAGTTTTTGAAGAAGTTAAATTATTTTAACTTATAATAAGTTGATAAAGACTTTTATAGAAAAATATAAGTTGTTTCAAATAAGCAATCCTAAACGCTCTCTTAGTGTATCATTAAAAAATATGATAATAATTGATGACAAGATAACGTATTTTGTTCATATTTCTATTTTGGATGATGTATAATGTTTAGATTCTTTTTAGATAATGTATTTTCAAAACTTTTATTTTGATATCTGAGATGTATAATTTTAAACATTTAAGTATCTGAACAACTTGCTTTAAGTATTAACAACTTATCGACTATCGAGACATGGCAAGATGAAGTGACATATAAATCCATAATTTTGCTGACACGGTGGATTTTTAACATAAAATAAATTTAAAATATCTTTTATTTTTAATTATAATTTTAAACTTTTAAATATATAAATCTGAAATCTTTTCATTGGCAATTTGGCATCCCTTCAATTTGGCATCTCAAAACTTTCATTTTGATACCTAAAATATAAAGTTTTAAATATTTAAGTATCCAAGTAACAGGTTGAAACATTAGCCGGTTATCATGCTGATGTGACGAGTTATGTGGTATCCAACTCAGTATTATTTGCTGATGTGGCTAGTGACATGAATTTTTTATAATCTAAAGAGTTAAATACAAATTTGGTCCATGTGGTTTGCAAAAATTAACGACTAACGTCCCTCAAAGAATCTTTTAACGACCAACGTCCCTTATACTTTCCATTTTATAACAGATGGAGTCCCTGTTAGTAACGGCGTTAAACAAAGTATAGTTAAGAAGGGGTAAATTCGTCAATTCCTTTTTTTTTAGTTTTTGATAATAGATTTGGTCCTCCCTAGGGATTAGAAAACCCTTTTCATCTACTTTGCCGCCTGATTGAACAAAATCCCTAAAAGATAGATTAGAAAAAGCGTCATGGTGATGTTCTCTCCAATCCTTTTCTAATCAATGTGTTTACATTCTGATTTCTTCATCAATAAGTGGTGCGATTTAATTTCTTCATCCGCCTCCTTGATCTCTTCATGTTTTGACCTATCTTCAAGCCAATGATGCACACACAATGGGTTGTTCGAAAGGAATTCGAAGGGGATACAATATATCTTCAAGTATATGGTATGTGAAGATTTTCCTTTTTAAGCTTTGAAGTTTCTCCTTTAAGTCAAAGACCTTCCAGCCTAATGGTAAAGGCTTGAGCATGACATAGTCATGAACCCGAGTTCGAGCCCTGGGAGAGGAGTGTTGGCGACATTTAAGTGGGGCCATGTTTAGCCTCCAAATTTGCCGGGGATTAGTCGGGCTTTGGCCCGGACACCCTTACAAAGTGGGTTTCTTGAGTGATGATTTGGTTTTTTCCTTTTTAATCTTTTCTTGAAACCATTATTCATACATATATTTTACAGTGGGTTTTTTGA